AGAATAGGCAGGGTGAATTACCGTTTAATATTGCTGCAAATTGAACTGAACAACCCATGAGGTTACTTACTATTAAAGGCATTATAAAAATGGAATTGGAATGAAATGGAATAAAAAGGGGGCGGTTTGAGGGTAAGCATAAGACGATGTCGGTCGCACATTATTAATTACTGTCGTTTGTTTTGTATTTAATGATTGACTGTTAATAGGAGCGGTCGCGTTATTGTTTAATTGTGTGATAAGGAGTGTTTCTGAGCATTTTCAGTTCATTAGAAAACTGACATTCATTTAAGGTGACACTAACAAGAAAGATCATTTATATGTGCATTTTGGTCATGGTTTATACAGTCACAAAGAGCTCAGACCCATGAATTCGAACGGTACTTTTGGAACTTTCAAGTACTTTACCAAATATTTGGACAGCTTATCTCACTGCTCAGAAGAACCCCGATGTGGCAAAAGATAGATGTTACCTTCGTATCCATGAATATAGGATTGTAACTATGGTATCAATGAAAATCTAATAACTCGCCTATCGTGTAGCATTTTAGCCCGCTATTTTTGGATTGCCTTTTGATGCAACCTGTCTTGAACAAGTAATTGTTTAAACAAAAAACTCAAGTGCCCCTCTTGCGGACATAAATGTGCAGGCCCGGATTAGGCGTTTCGTAGGCCCTATGGCACCATTGTTCCGTAGGCCCTACTCCGCCCCAGGCACCGGCACCAAATTCAAAGTACAAAGCACTGTACAAATCAAGCCATGTCCAAACTGGTATAGGTGCTAGCTCTAAAAGCCTGTTGGCACCAAGGGCGTCAATCGCTTCTCAAAAGTGGGAGTGGTACATTAATGTGTATCTTGATCAGAACTAATGCGAGTGCGTGGGTTTTGGATTCTAGACGCTCTGTCGTGCGATCTGAGGCAACTTCTGACCACTATAACTAATGCTTGTTTTAGCAAAAGATCATCATTTAAACATCATTTTCGAGTTTGGAGTCCTTGAATCAGCTATTCTGAGCTAATCAAAATGCAAAACGAAGGTTAAAAAAAAATGTATTCGGGGACGAAAATAGTTGAGGGGAACATTATTTTCCCCGCCCCCACTGATCGACGCCCATTGTTGGCGCTGTGCTGCGACCATTGAGCTACATTAATTTAATATAGCTCTATGGCTGCGACATACTTACACGTAAAGGGCCTACTGGTCATGACGCATGATTTGCGTTGTACAGCGTCAGTTGGTGAAATAGAAAATTCTGAGAGAGACCCTAAAACTGTTTAAAAACTTTTTAAAAACTGTTCTCTGCGTGAGTGCGTGTTGGTAGGACTATACATGTTTTGTGGGACACAGCGCTATTTTCGTACGCCCCCGAGTATTCCGTAGGCCCTAGGCACAGTAGGGTATTGGGCAATCCGGGCCTGTAAATGTGCCCCCTCTAGCATTAATGTGCCCCCCCCCCCCTCCAGATGAAAACAAAACTACCCCTAAAATTTCAGATAATTGTATTTAGTAACCATTTCCCAAAATGGTATAGAGAGTTCTGATATGAATGAGGAATATGAAAACCAAGCCCCAAAACCCTAAAAAAAAAAAAAAAAAAAAAAATGCGCAGTGTGCATAATGGTCGGATTTGAAGAGCGCCCCCTATTTTGGAAAATGGTAACAGCGACCCCCCCCCCCCACACCCCACCCCAGTATTTGATTTTACGGAGGCAAGGTGTCCGGTGAAAAAATACGTATTGACATTTCAGCACGGATGTGCCCCAAATAAAAATGCTTGATACGCTGCTGCACCGACGGAAGATGCCTTTTACTGAGCAAGTACTCATTTTTGATGATCCCCCCCCCCCCCCCCCCCCCCGTTTGAAAACCGTTCCGCAGCCGCTGGCAACAAATCATAATCACCTTTTCCCGTCCCGTTTTTCACTCTAAACATTCCGTTGACAGAGTATTTTGTTCGGAAAATAATAACCCGTCTCCAGAAAATTAAACTACCCGTGATTGAGTTGTCCCTTGCTCCGTGCGCAGACCCAACCAAGGATATGAGTATATATTTAATATTTCGCACGTGTTGCCGACGGAAATCCTAGAGCCTATGTGATTTATAGTGCAGGGCATTAATTTGTGTCCACGAGAAACCATCGGCTTGTGGGAGAGAATTAAATAACTCTTGATGGCAGTGTTGGAGGCGGTGTCCGTGGCCGTTTTGGTGTTGCCTTTCGACACCGAATACTCGAAAGGTCGGAGAAGTAATCGAAGTCTGTATTCGGATTCCAAAAAGCTGACAAGGCTACTAGGCTAGCCTTGGTACAGTCGTTTATCCTTGTGTTCTATAAAATAAAGGTTGAAATGTTTCTCGTTTACGCTAGTGCCGGTATCAGAAACAAATAAGCACTTTTTCGTTTTTACTTTGTTTTGATTTACATCTCCTTTGCGTGAGCAAAGTGACATTCTCACTTGAATGACGTCATTATTCATCAATACACACTTGTATCGTTCATATTGAAATAATGCAAAGTCCTACTATTTGTTGGCGATATTTCTCTGACTATAAGGTTTGTTTTTAACTTTTACTGCGGAGTTTATAATATAACCTGTATTACAACACAGCCATTTCATGCCAAAAACAAGGATCCGGTTTCTGGACCAGTTATGCACGCGCGTCGCCGTAGCCATGCGAGTCGGCAAAATTAAAACGTTTTATTTTCAATGTAAGATGATGTCTCAAATCCGCCAATCTCACTGGTTTGACTAGAATCCTACTGCTGCACAATTTTAACGTGTTTTTAGATGGGGTTACGATCGAGTATAAGCTCTATGTGGCCTTTCTGGGCTCCTATATATTTTGCGCAGAATAGTGGAGCACCATTCGCAGACCGTGTTGTACAATAAAAGTGGAGGGGAGCCGCGTCGCCGCACCACTTTTGAGGCAAGCTCCATACCAGAAACAGGAGACTTTTTTTGTTTTGCTTTTTTTGTTTTTGGATAACACATACCAAATTGGCAATTTAAATAAGACCAAAGATGTTATGGTTTTTGTGCATTATGGGCACCTAAACAACCCGATAAAAGCGTATTTTTTAGAGGGTCGAAACATTCGAAAATAATGGAAAACATTTTTGTTTTCGTTTCTGAGCCGAAGTACTAGCGCCCTCTTGCTCTCGAAGCCAACCGAGAGGGCGCCCTGGTAACGGAACGAGGTCGATGTTATTTCTTAAACAGGTCGCATAGAAGGATCCGAACAAATATTGATTGTATATCGGTTGAGGGCGCTGTTCTTTTTCACGCGAAGTAATAAACTTGCAAACGTGCTTGATCATTGTCATCCATGCATTATTTACCCTCTAATTTGCACCAAAATATTACTGAATACCATGTGTACACAAACGTTGAGGGCACTTTCCGTGACGTGTTTATCTATACAATAGCTTTTCCGCTAAACTTGCGGAAATTATATTGTGCATCTACAATCCAAAACTTTCCGGGGCAGCCACGTACGCCGTAAGTCCTTCGCGCTCCGCGCTCGCATTAGTCCTTAAGACCGTAGACAAAATTTGCCCCCCCCCCCCCCCCTTTGGCCCTTGTTTAAAATTCCTGGCTACGCGCACGCCCGTGGATTAAATAATTAATTTGCCTCTGAAGAAGGCCTTTGCTTTAAGGCTAAAACATCAGGCCATTTTATTTTTTGATTTAAATATTTTTTTTTCTCAGTTAATTAAGGGAATGTTTTACTTATAAGGGCAGTGGGTGGGTTAACTAAACGGAACTTATTTCGTTTGACTTCGATAAAAAGGAAATAGGTAAGTGCACATGAAAACAAAGTGTGACGTCTTTAGTTTGATTTGTTCGATGTGGGCGCACATTAATGCTGTCGGTACGTATAAACGTAATGGAACACCTTACGAGGAAAAGGTTAATGAGACGGAAAATTGTCTTTGCCAAAAGACCGTTACGCTAATTGTCGAGACCGCGCGCGCGGCAGCAGTGTCGTTACTCGTTACTCGTTACGATTTAAATTACGCCATTAAACCGACAGCTGACATTATTTACTATGATTACACAGAGGGAAACGATGCAAAACTTGGACTAGGGACTCCAAGTTTCCAAGAATGTTTTTTGAATTTTTCCGCAGAAAAAAAACACCTAATCAAGTTTATGGTGCAACAATAACAAGCTAACTTTTGTCTCCCCAAATTCTGAGAGGGGGGCGTGAGGTCTTGCTCTCAAGCCCCACCCCTCCCCCTCCACACCTCCCCCTCCCCCCCCCCCCAACCTCACACACACACGCACACCCAGACGCAAGTGTGTATTTGCCTGCAATCGGGGACCCCGTATTGTCCCTCTTTTGTTTGTACTTTTTAGGAAGACATCCCTTATGTTTTATACACGATCGCCAACTGGGGACCTTCGGGAATTGGGGACCCTAATTGTCCTCTATTGTTCAACGTCCCCTATTTGAATGCAGAAACAAAATGATTCACGAAGTCATATTGCTGTTAATTTAATGGGTTGGGGGGGGGGGGCAATGTCCCTGCCCACCCTCGAAAAATGATAAATCGAGAATGTGCTGGAAAAGTACCTGGATTTCGGGAGAAATGAGCTTTGCCCCCCCCCCCCCAAAAAAAAAACGAGGAAAAAAGATCTGCACCCACCTGACTGGTTCATCTATACTTTATGGAATCATTATAGATTCAATTGCTTTTCAAAATTGCATTTTGGTCTTTTTCAATAACGACACTACTAAGTGGATGATAACACTTTTCGAGAAAAAAAGTGAGAAAAAAAAACCCGCGCAACATTTTGATCACAAAACACTATTTCGTCCAAAACACTTTTTCAATTCCAAAACCAATCAGAATAGGCTGAGCGTGGGAGGAATATGACAAAATTATCATAACCATTCCGGGACTAATGGGGGTTGGAGCCAGCTAATAAAAATAGATCGGTCTGCCTATAAAAACCAGACACGATTTGAGAGAGAGGCCAGAATGAGAAGAGGATTTCACTGTGGTGTTTTTAGCTTCCAGAATACCGACGTTTTGTACTTTGTGCGCTCTTCATCTCCGAAGAGGTTTTTGTGCGTATTGACTGTTGCTACACTGCATCATCAGGGTGAGTATACTGCTATATAACTAGAGATAGTTCAGCTGCGCTGTGAAATATGGATTCCACACTCCTTGACCGTATTGCATATTGCATGAAACTACATGTATGTCAAAAATACAGGTTGAGTCAAAAAAAATGGAAACCCAATATGTCATGCAGGACCATTGTTAATGAAGTTTTGCATGTAGCACTTTCAAAATCCAGGATATGAAAGCCCAATTAATACGCTTTCTTTTAGTACAAGAATGATTCAAATCACCTAAGTATTTTTTCAAGTTACGGAATTTTAAACACTAACTTCTGTCCAAGGATCACAAAAAGGAATGAAATTAGTATAGGGATGTACATGAGTGATTTTAGTGATTCGTGTACTGAAAGAAAGTTTATTAATTGGGCTTTCATATCCTGGATTTTGAAAGTGCTACATGCAGAACTTCATTAAATAATTGGTCCTGCCATTTGGGTTTCCTTTTTTTTTTACTCACCTCGTATATACCATTACATATATCGTATATATGTTTTTTTCTCGGTAGTGTCCCCCGAACCAGTTCGACGACTATGGCCGGCAGAGCAACATCTCATCGACGGTTGAGTGGGCGTGGTTCCCTGTGGCCGATTCACCCACTCTTGGTGTGTCTAGTTGCCTGTGTTCTCGCCTACCAGATAGCACCATCTATGGGCGTGTGCACCAGTAACCACCAGCCCACTATTACACACATATGGCGTAAGCATCTTGACAGGTTGACCGACATCGCCCGCGATATCCTGGATAACGACACTGTGGTCATTCCGAACTCTTACAGCGACGAAGAGCTGAGGCAGACTATGGCCGATATGCGCCAGTTGGCCCCGGGTACGATGGCAAACTTCGACATGATGTGCGAGGGTGAGCTCGCATTTGCTACGGACGAATGGACATGGATGTGCCGCAACCAGCAGACGTTAGGAAGACGCTAAAAAGGGACATGTTATGAACACCGACGAGTCGGCGTGACGTAATGATGACGTCGGCTGTACTTTCAATCAGGTTTGCTTATAAAATGAATACGTATGGATTTGGTTTTGCTGGCGTTTATTGTAAGTTTGTTTCTGACACACTAATCGTAAATTCTAGCTAGGGTTGTATTCAAGTTATTCTCTATTTCATCAACACTGGTAGAACTACACGTTAATGTCGAGTCGTCAGCATACATGAACAAATTACACCCTTCTTATATAAATATTAAAGAACAGTGGACCTACAATAATCCCTGTGGTACGCCGGTGTTAAGTGGTAGGGCATTAGAAATTGTGCCCTCAGTATTCACAGACTGACTACGTTTACTGACCGAATTGTTTACATACATCACTTCATCCGAAGCTAATTCGCCGGGGATATTATAGCCGTATTATATTCAATTCGCTTGCTTTCTAGAATCAAGTGGCTGCGTCGTGTTCAAATCAGTAGTCAGTAATAGTGTTGTACACTGAAAACACATTGAACATAACTATATAGTATATACTTTTTATGTTGTACGGTTGATCCCTTAGATATTATGTAGGCACATTCGTTCTGATTATGACGGTTAAAAAGGGTTAGGCTATACATTTTTAATATCTTTGTGTGGTTCGAGACTAGCAAGATGGAACGAGTCTTATTAAGTTAAATGATGATTGGCATTGACATGCTTGTATAAAACTGCATGTCGGTGGCATCTGTCATCTTTTGGCGTCAGTTTGGTTTTTGTTATTATTGCGGGTTATCGTCAGGGCATGTGATCTGTTACAGTGAAATGGTACTATATATTTATTCATAATAATATTGTGCAATTGTAAATGTGCGTGTACTGAACCACTCATTGTAATAGATTGAGACATAGAAACAGCAAACTCACGGTGGTTTAATTATAAACATTGTAGATAGATAAAGAGTATAGTACTATTTTCAAATGCATTGTTAACTTGATGTTTTGAGTATAAAGATAAAGTGCAATTTCGTGTTTTTGGTGTTTTTTTAAATTATTCATAAAGAGTATTGAACTGAACAACCTAGGAGATTACTTATCATTAAAGGCATTTCAAAATGGAATTGGGATGAAATGGAGTAAGAATAAGAAAAAGCTACGCTTAAGACAATTCGGTCGTACATTATTTACTGTCGTTTGTTTTTCTGTCAAGATTGACATGTCAATAGGAGAGGTCGGTGATGTTAGCCATACACAATCACACAGAGCTCAGACGCATGCATGAATTCGAACGGCAATTTGGGAACTTTCAAGTACTTTACCAAATATTTGGACAGCTCATCTCACTGCTTAGAAGAAGCCCGATGTGGCAAAAGATAGATTTTACCTTCGTATCCATGAATGTAGGATTGTAACTATCAATGAAAATCTGATAACTCGCCTATCGTGTAGTCTTTTAGCCCGCTATTTTGGATTGCCTTTTGATGCAACCTGTCTTGAACATTGAATTGTTTCAAAACAATTAATCGTTATCACCGTTTCCTTTTCTCGATTCTCACTTTATGAACATTCCGTGGACAGAGTGTTTTGTTCGGAAAATAATCGCCCCTCTCCGGAAAAATTAGATAACCCGTGACTGCGTTTCTCTTCGCTCCATGCACGGATCAAACCAACGACGATGTTGCTGACGGAAATCCTGGAGCCAATGTGATTTATAGTGCGGGAAAACCATCGGCTAGTGGGAGATAATTAAATAACTCTTGATGTTAGTGTAGGAGGCGGTGTCCATGGCCGTTTTGGTGTTGTCTTTCGACACCAAATACTCGGAGGATACGGTCGGAGAAGTAATCGAAATCTGCATTCGGATCCCAAAAAGCTGACAAGGCTGGCGCTTGGTACAATCGTGTATTCTTGGGTTCTGTAAAATGAAGGTTGATTTTTTTCTCTTTCCCATAAGTGCCGGTGTAAATTGAAATTTCCTTAAATCAAATACGTTGAGGAGCATGCTCGAGTGGAGCAGCTTTAAAGTAATGCGTCTTTTGTTTAGTTTATACAACATGCAGATATTGCAGTCTTTTGTTCCTCTGTCAGCACTATAGAGAGTATAAAACTGTCGAAAAACACCTCTCCTGATCCGGGGTCTTTCACAAACACTCGCTCCACGGATCCGAGAGAAGGCGGCCATGTTGATTCATGCAATGCAGCTAACGACCAGTCAACAATTACGGAACACTTATTTGCCCGAGATTTCGTCATAGTTTCTAAGACAGAATGGGTTTTGTTCTAGTAGCTTACACGCGTTATTAACCCTCTCATTTTCATCAGAATAGGACTGAATACCTGTAAAAAATGTTGAGGGCACATTCCGTGACGTGTACATCTACACAATATATTTTCCGCTAAATTGCGGGACTTATATTGTGCATCTACAATCCAAAATTTTCCGGAGCAGCCACGTGGCCGTAAGGGCTTCGCGCTCCGCGCTCGCAATAACACAATTTGCCTCCCTTGTTTTAAATTCCCGGCTGCGCCTGAATTAATTCAAGAGTTCATTTGCCTCTGAAGAAGGCCTTTGCTTTAAGGCTAAAATATCAGGCCATTTTATTTTTGATTTAAATATATGTTTTCTTTAATTAAGGGAATGTATGACTTAAGGCAATGTGCTCCGTCTTAACAGCACTCATTTCGTTGGACTCCATAATTAGTGCCCCCATCATTTATGTTATATATTAAGTCCTACGATGAATTCCTGTGCGCGTACATACTCTCTGTATACGTAAACTCCTGTACGAGTAACTTGTCTTTCAACATACCGTTACGATAATTGTCATGACATCATGGCAGCTGTGTCGTCACGCGTTACGATTTTAATTACGTCATCAGAGCGGAAGCTGACGTTATGCCTCTGACTAAAAATGATGCAACACACGGCCTACGGACGCGAAATTTCCACGAATGTTATTTTGACTTTTCCGTAGAAAAAACATACAGTGACGGATCATTTTCTGAATTATAGTTCAATTATACTTTGTGGAATAATTAGTAGAATCAATTGCTTTTCATGCATTTTTTTTTCAATAACAACACCACTCAGTTGATGTGACACTTTTCGAGAAAACAGTGCGAGAGCCCGCGCAACCTTTCACGAAACACAATTTCGTCCATGGCACTATTTCGATTCCAAAAACAAACAGAATAGTGACTAGACTGAGTATGGGAGGAATGCTACGAAATTATAATAATTACTCCAGGACTCGTAAAAGTTTGAGCCAGCTAAAAGTAGACATTATAGGTATGCCTATAAAAACCAGACACGATTTGAGAGAGTTGGTAGAATGAGAGGAGGATTACACGCTGGTTTCCATGGAACCCACATTTCCTATCCCCTGATTGTGTGTGCTCTTGGAGGTTTTCGTACGTATTGCAGGGGCGGATCCAGGAATTTTCGCAGGTTCATCAGCAAAAAAATCTGAAAATGTACACAGGTTTTTTTCTCCAGACACTTGGCCTCCGTAAAATCCAAAACCATATTTCAATAGGGGGCGCTGTTCAAATTCGACAATTATTAACACTAGATTACAGAATGGTGTACCGTATTTTGAACAGACGGACATTATACCAGTATACTTTGGGGGGGGGCTGTCACGGAGGGGGGTTCGACTTATTTTTTAGGAATTTGTATGATAATTTTTTTTTTTTGACAGAGCTGGGGGTGACCCCCCCCCCCCCCTTCCCCTCTGGATCCGCGCCTGTATTGACTGTTGCTATACTTCATCATTAGGGTGAGTGCACGCGGCTGCTATAACTAGAGACGGTTCAGGTGTGCTATGAATCTGGACCCGACACTCCTTGACCGTACTGCGTATAGGCCCTATTGCAATAATGTCACAGTAGACACAAAATAGGTCTTACTCGAGAGGTACATTTTAATTCATAACCTAATGTGCAAAAAACCTTGGGTGATGATTCAATTCTTTTTCAGACGGAGGGAAGATATTGGGTTTAGTGCTGGTAATCAAACGGTTAACAATCCTAGTTACTTTACGGCTCAGATATTATTGTCTATAAACATCATCCGCGATAAAACCTTAGTCAAGTTAAAAACAATTAAACAAAGTCCTTTTAAAAGGACCGTCTCTAAAAAAAAAAGTGGATTTTATAAATCATATTGTTTGCCTAACCAGTGTTGTTAATAAAGATATTGTGTACCACAGTTGTTGACACTGGAGTTGTTGAAACATGTATTCTGTGTCGTTTTCTTTTTGTTCCAAACAGTCAGAATACACACTAAACTTCGAGCTCCTACTTCATTGAAATTTTGATGAAAGTAGAAACTAAAATGGCTCTATTGCAATTGAGCGTAGGCGTCAATTTTCGAAATGGCGACGGGCTTCAGAAGGCCTGCTTTTAGGGGATATCATCATTTGGATGGAATTTTCTCCAAAAAGGAATTGGTTAACAATAACACCCCCCCCCCCCCCTTCAAAAAAAATGAACGGGAAATGCAAGATGATGAAATATGCTGTAATTTGATGTGTGTCTCAAACGCCTTGTAGAGTTGTGAGTAATTTGTTAATTTTGGGAAGTGCGCGAAGTAATCACTGCGGTATGGCAGTCTATTTATACTGGTACCCAAAGTTTCTTAGCTGAAGTGCTAGCGCCCTCTGTCTTGGTCTCGAGTTGGAATATTTTCAAAGGAAACTCGAGAGGGCGTCTTGATTATGAAACGATCTTGATCGATCGTGCGAAGAAGGTACAGTTGCGATTTAGTGCATAATATTAAATCTGCTAAAAACTTTAAGAAAGTACATAGCTCTCGGAACTTTTATAACTTAAGCCTTATGAGGTAATGACTGACTTTGAACAATAATTTTGCTGCTTTGTTGTAAATTAGCTTTTGAAATTGGCAGTAACAACGTCGACAGTGCACTAAAATCTCACACTGACTGCAGCATTAGAACTTAGGCAAGCATGTCCAACCATAGCCCCACTAGTGTGGCCGTCGGTATGCTGCGCTGAACCTAAGGCTGTTTCCTGTGCCGTAGATCCTGAATAGAGATCAGTGCACGTGGCCCCCAGACGATAAATGCATGGTACAGGAAACAGCCGTCGCATTTGCAACTCGCGCCCTCGCTCGACAAGCAATTTGCATAAACGCGACGTCACAGCTTGAGGTCATCTCTTGTCACATTCAAAATGGCTGCCATCACCGGACGTTTCACGAGTGCATATGGGCTCCAGAAAGATTCAAGAATATCTCGGAAAATTGAACATCATTACACCTAAGCATCGCAGAAGTGATAGATGGGACATCGTAGAATACAACCATATGTAGTCCGAGTAACTTGGACCCAACTTATCGCCTTTTTAACATTTGGACATGGTCTGGCGATATCGCCAGACCATGTCCAAATGTTAAAAAAGGCGATAAGTTGGGTCCAAGTTACTCGGACTAAACCATATGTAAGAAATTCCCTGCAAATTTTATGAAAACGTCCTCAGTAGTGCGCGGACCACGGTGTGTGGCCTTAGGTTCAGCGCAGCATACCGACGGCCACACTAGTGGGGCTAGTCCAACCATGGAGCAAGGAATGTTCAAGCATGGAGGTAGAATGGGCCGATAGTATCGCCGGACCATGTCCAAATGTTAAAAAGGCGATTCGTAGAGTCCTACTCGGACATTGCATGCAGTAGTACAGTCAGTGGATGATGAAGCCGTTTAGCGGATACCGCCATCATGGCCATCTTGCTTGAAATTCAAATTGTGATTGCACAAATTGAAATCGTGAATGCACACAATTTGACAAATGCACATTAAGAGTGGCAAATTAAGAGACAAATTTAACCAAAAGGAACCCTTGGACAGTGCTAATTTTGGTGAAAAAAGAACTCCCATGAACTACTAGGCTGAAATATATTCATGAAAAAAATGCCATAATTTTACAAACTTTTAGTGCTCTCATTTGCAAGGCCTGCAGAGTTTAAATTTCCAGTGTGTGACTTTAGAATAGGGCTAACATAACAGTGGATAAAGTAAAACTGACATACTCTTGTTTGTTTTGAAGAATTTGTTAATTTTTGTTACTAATGAAAAGAATATTTCCTTACTTTCAGAGTGACGGACAATGCAATAAAGGGCTACAAAGTACAGGCAACATCCCTGTTGAATTACGGACAGTGAATACGATGAATGAAACGGAAGATAAAATTGTCTTGTCAGCATCGTTGATTGACGATGTGAAAGCTTTCCTGACCCTGGACATCCCAGGATTGCTTCCAGAAGAGCTAACGGAAAGGATATTTAGATTTCTGTCTGCTGAGGACCTGTGTCGTGCTGCAGCGTGCTCTCGAGCGTGGAGAGAGAGGACAAACAATGATGTACTGTGGCATTGGTTATGTAAACGGAGAAGATGGGAACGTTACAGCAAAGTTGTCGACCTGAGTCGAGAAACTCCATTCAGTCCATCCTTCACAGACATCTCGCACACCACCCCGACATTTCACTTCGAGAACATTTTAACCGAGCCCGCATTCTTGTCCGCCACCTGCAACTGGAAGCAGGTTTACATGAGGGCGTGGCACCTGGAACGCAACTGGTGCAGAGGACGATACCGCGTGGCACCAGTGATGCGCGGGCACCGGGAGAAAGTGACGTGTTTGGACTGCAACGGAACCGTTCTGGTCAGCGGGAGTGTGGACAAGACAGTCAGAATGTGGAATCTCATAAGCGGCAAGTGTACTCGCGTGTTAGATGGACACACTGATGCGGTGACATGCTTGAGACTGAAGGATGACGTCGTCGTGACAGGATGCTCGGATGGCTTTGTCCGAGTCTACGACACACGGACTGGTCGGTGTCAGATGGTGTTTACCGGCCATGAGAGAGGTGTTGAATGCCTCTGTATTGAGGGAGACAATGTCATCAGTGCCTCCAGCGACAGATCTATCAGGGTGTGGTCCCTGTCTCGAGGAATCTGTACTCAGATACTTCGAGGACACAGTGATGACATTGAGGCATTGAGTTGCATGGGCAGCCTTGTCGTCAGTACATCTTGGGACATGACATTGAAGTTATGGGACATTGGTCATGTCGGGGAGTGCCTGCATACCTTACAGGGGCACACTGAAGTCGTGTTCTGTTGTCAGTTCGACGAGAGAATTGTGGTGAGCGGTAGTGGCGATGGTCTGGTCAAAGTTTGGAGCACAAAGTCCGGCGAATGTTTGAGGACGTTAGAGGGTCACGACGGAGACGTGTACTGCCTTTGCTTTAATGATGACGTCATTGCATCGGGATCAGCAGATAGTTCAATACGATTGTGGTCCCACGCGGGGGAACTACTTAGAGTAATGCGGGAGCACATCGGAGTGGTACGCTGCATGTGTCTCCTTGGTGACAGACTGGTATCCGGCGGCGATCGGAAGAAAATCGTTGTCTGGAATGCCAAAAATGGTGACCTATTGAATGTCGTTCACCGGAATCCGAGTCTGCTGCACATCATGTGGATGAATGATACACGTCTGGTTACGGCCTCTCCTGAATCACCGGGCACTTTAACTGTGATGAGCTACTGGTGATAGACATTTCGGAACTTCGATGTCAAAGTATATTCTTGCCAACGAGTAGTTTTCTGTGGTCTTGACTGTGTGGACTTTTTATTAATAAAGGCCATTCCTGAACTTCCTTGCTTTTTTACCAAATGCGGTTTTTTTCTCTGCAAAACCAATCAAAGTTGTTCAAACTTGGGTGTGTTGGGGTGGGGGTATGTGTCTGTGGGTGTGTTTATGGTGTAAATCGAGGACACACATGTGAAGCACCATCGAGTAATTGAGGACAGGAGTCAAATCAAGGAAGACCTCGATTAGAAAACGTGTACAAAAGCAATGGGATCATGTTGCCAAAAAAAAAGCCGAAGAGGAACAACAGAAAATCCTCGATTCACACCATAAACAAACCTGCTGGTTTGTGTGTGTTGTGCTGTGCTGGAAAATGGTGAAAATTCAATTATTTTATGCATACTGGGTGCACTGTACTTTTTTAATTTTCGAGACAACATAAAATTATATAAGTTTTGATGAAATGTTTGACTGTGAATGTCAATTTCAATGAACAATTTGCCTTTGACAATGATTGTGTCTTTGTAAAAAGTTTTCATATTTCAAAACAAATTTTACTTTTTTTTTTTTAATAATTCATGTATAGTGAATTATACATGAATGTATAGTGCTTGCATATATGCAGTTATAAAATAAGTCGTCATTGAAGTTTCAATTCCATAATGTGGATAAGCTAAAGTTCATTTCCCAATTTATCTCCACATTCCCTGATGGCGTTTGCTTCATAATTTTATGACTCGCAAACAAACAATTGCCAATTCTCCAAAAATATCCAGTGTGTGTATTAATTAAGCAAACTGAAAGCCACTCTCACTAATTATTGTCAGTTGTGGGACTGCAGATCGTTGCAATAAAGGCGAGTGTTCTTTTTCGTTAAGATGAAATGGGTTACTTACATGTAGTAATAACAATTCACACTTAATACTTTCATATAACCTGTGGTAGTTTGACGAATATATAATTTAAATTTCAAAGTCGTCCAGTCACAAGAGTCCCAACTGAAAACCTGCTTTCCCAGTCCCACCAACCCCCCACCCCACCCCCCTCTCTACCCCACACCCCTATCTACCCAACACCCCTACCCCCTCCCTACCCAACACCTCTACCCAACACCCCTACCCCCTCTCTACCCAAAACCCCTACTCCCTCCCTACCCAACACCCCTACCCCCTCCCTACCCAAAACCCCTACTCCCTCCCTACCCAACACCCCTACCCTCTCTACCCAACACCCCTACCTACCCTACACCCCTACCCTCTCTACCCAACACCCCTACCCCTCTCTACCAACACCCCTACCCCCTCCCTACCCAACATCCCTACCCTCTCTACCCAAAACCCCTACTCCCTCCCTACCCAACACCCCTACCCCCTCCCTACCCAAAACCCCTACTCCCTCCCTACCCAACACCCCTACCCTCTCTACCCAACATCCCTCCCTACCCAACACCCCTACCCTCTCTACCCAACACCCCTACCTACCCTACACCCCTACCAACTGTACCCACACCCCTACCCCCTCTCTACCCAACACACCTACCCCTTTTCTACCCAAAACCCTACTCCCTCCCTACCCAACACCCCTACCCTCTCTACCCGACACCCCTACCTACCCTTCACCCCTACCCTCTGTACCCAACACCCCTACCCCCTCTCTACCCAACACCCCTACCCCCTCTGCCCAACACCCCTATTCCCCTCTGTACCATTCGCCACACCCCTACCCCCTATACCCCACCCCCCTACCCACCCTCTGTGACTCCCCAGCCTCATCCTCATGATCACATTTTAAAGAAAAGTCTCATTGGGAGTCATCGACCAACTTGGCCTAATTACAAATGTAAAACTCGAATCTCCAACAAAGACAACCAAGCGACAGGCAACGAGCGCGACTTTTACAAAAAGCATGCATATTACCATGATAGGCATAATGCATGCACTTTTATTGACCATCAGTATAAGCAGTACAGGTATAAACAGGTTAACAAAATAAATGTCTGCTTTTTTTTTGGCTGCCTGCTTCTCGTAAAACACTGCTTTACAATAAATTGGAAAAGTATGGTGTGATAAGAATTATAGCAAAAGGGTGCGAAACGTCTCGTTTTAGTTCAGTGTCATTCGTTTTGACGACAGCTTGTTCCACTTATTTTTGACATAATTTATGAAATAAGTGTGTAGGTAATGAAGACCCTTCACTGGAAGGACCTCGTTCATTTTTATACTATAATCAAGCTTCACATCTAGGCATCACAACGTGCAGAAAAGCATTACATAGACGTATAATAATAAAACCACATCTTTGGAACTTTTTTTCGCAAGCAAACATAAAATTCAAATATTGTCATTGTGCACCAACAAAATTAGTTCTTTATTATGCTCTCTTGAAAACTCCAGAAGAACAAAGCATTTTTTTAACTCTGATTTTCAAAGGTGATTTTAATTCAACTAAATTGAAATATGTATCTTTTAAATACAGAAGCAGCAAACCATTTTGAAAGTTAAATTCTATCTCAGTTACTCTTCTGAGAATCACTTTATATAGGCAGTGAACCGAGCAAGTGTCTGACCAAGTTCCTTTCTGAGCCCCAATTCAATTTACTTTCATCTTAAACACGGTCCTCGTTACTTCTGACTGAAAAGTTTTAAAATATTCATAAAACTAAGTGTTACCCCTTAACAGGCTTAGTCTTAGACGATCATGACACCTTGCATTCACAATCGAAGACTTTCTAATTGTATTCCAGATAAAGTGTCTTCTCAGGACACACAGTAAAAATAAACAAACGTAAAATGTGCACATGTAAAGCTGCTACTGAAAAAAAAATCTGAAAGAATGTTGCATACTGACGCCACTGTTTCAATCATATATTATCTCAATGAAGGTCAGTCATTGCAGTCATGTTCCAATTCCAAAACACTTCCAATTTTCAAGCATGAAAGTTCGTTTCCTGTCCAATTTTGTTAGAAAATACGTTGAAAATGCACTTGACTCCCCATAGACTTTGTATACTGCGATCAAAGGAAGTGGCGTCTGGATACTACATTCTTTCCAAAAATTCAAGCGTTTGAGTATTCAGAGAAAGTCTGTCAACTTCCAAACTTTTTTCCTGCGCCGTTAATGGAACAACACTGAACAATTGTTCGTTTGGATCAATTTATTTGCCTTTTTGAAGTATGGCAGGCACCACAGGAGGCCGCTATTTGAAGCGGGTAAATTTGAATAAATACAAGAGTTTACAAAGTCCAAACAGCGCCCTCTTATTGGGTCGGCCATACTTCAAAAAAGCTTAATTTGAATGTTCTCATATCAACAACCCCATGGAGAAACCCAATTCACAACTTGCACGACGCTGTATAGGTAAACAACTCCTAGAAAAACATGAATACAGATTTAAAGAATACATTGGCAGTTTGTGATTCTGATACGTACCACCCTTAAGCAAACAATGTAAGACACTCCCCCCAATTTGAAATGATTCATTGATGTTAACGGGTATAAAAATAAAGTACCCACAGACTTTGTGGACTGTTTGCCTAAATTACTCAAAATATAAGGGTCACATGATAAAAGCCTGGTTCCAACTGTTTGTCGCCTATTTAACAGACAGGGAACTATCGCTATTAACTCTCCTTACGGCTGCACATCAGCGCCCTCTGTTGTTCACACTGGGAGCTGATAATAAAAGCAAAGCTGTATTTAATCAACACAATCAACCTTGCAAACGAACAATACATAAAAGAATAATTTATACATAAAACTAAAATGAGATGTAGAGGTTTTTTTTATTAGGATTGATAAAAATACATATATTTACGCTATCAAATCAACAAATTATAAACACTTTCTGTGGAGAACTAGTTCTTTTTGTTGGTTTCACTTTTCTTATAAAAAGCTGCAGCTTGGAAAAAAAAGACAAGAAAGAAGAAATACCATGTGACACCTTATCTACAAGTGTAGAAATAGTATAAATGGCTCCATATAATTAAACAAAATTGTTACAGATGGCAAGATTTACAATTAAAGAAAAGCACAGCATTGTCCATGTTTAAGAATTGTCAAAAGTTTTCAAAAATCGAAAGGTTCAAAAAACAAAGCAAGTAAATACAGGCAACGCTATGAAATGTGCTGTGTAATTAATTTCCAACTTGACTAAAAAAAACTTGAACTTTTGCCCTTGTAAACGAAAACAAGATGTCTCCTGTTATTACAATAATCAATTGATTTATAAGTGCGTTGTACAAAATTTTGTTTACAAAACAAGCAGAGAATGGATTCATTTGTTTACATGGCAAACATACCCGACTGTAATGTATTTGCTGCGGCACAACAGCAACCGTGAACAATGCATCCATATGTATTCGCTCGTACCCCCGCCCTGCACACAGGGAGCTGGGAAAGGCTGATGCCACTTCACAGAATCTTGTGAAGGAAGTACGGATGGCATTATGGGTAACTTATAATGACCTTCGCATGCAGCTAGCGCGCGCTACGTGTAATAACAGCAGCAGTGCTGCATGGACGTCACAGGTCACGCAAAATCTATCCAATGAGAGCTCGAAGAGATCAGCCCTTCCCAGCGTCCTGTTTGCGGGGCGGGGGGTACGAGCGAATCAAATGTACACTTGTTTCTCTTTCAACAATCTGCCTGTTAGGTGGGCACATTAAAAAAATATTTCCCTTTTGAATTATATATGCAGATTATATTTCAAAGCATTTTTAATTTGTCAAGCTTTTTTTTTTTCAAGAGTGTACATGCACACGATTTTGTGTGGTCTTCTGCAAACACTCCTAGTGCTGTCATATTATTCCGTCAGTAAACAAAAAAATTAATTTAAATTGTCAAATAAATGACATCATCAACTCTTGCATAAAAAAGCAAGGTTATCCAAAACTTACATTTAGCAAAATACTTCTATTTTTTTCAATCTATCTTTATTTACATTTGTTGATCGCAATTAAATGTAAACAAACGAACAAAAGGCCAGGCAGTATTTGTGACTTTTATTTTTTGGCTGGCCATATATTAGATTTCATCGATTCGGCATGCACTTTGTACAATATAAACACTTTTTTTTTTAGCTAAGATAAACTTTTACATCAAAATGGTGTTGGCTTTTAGTGTGGCCCGCACTGTTTATTGATCAGTGAGTGGTCTATTTACACTTTCATAAATCTGTACACAGGTGCAACAAACAAAACGATCATTTGAACCATCGGTAAGGTGCAGTCACGGTGTTTGAATACTTCACAGGATTTAACATCAGTTTTCAATTACATGTAACACCTGTTTTAAAACTGGCATTCCAGAGTCTAACTGGCTCAGTTTCACCAAAAACTGAGTTTTTGGTACTTTGTTTCAGACAGAAGATTTTAATGCATTAATTTCAATTTTACTACAACTTTCCATCTTTCGACATCATGTGCGGAAAGTCCCTCCTAACTGTTTCAAAGTGAATTCAAAATCTATGAAATAATTGAATCCTAACCCCCTTGGGTGGGTGATAAATCGTATGAAAATTGGAGGATTTTTGGAGTCGTGGTAGAGTTAATGTCAAGAAGAAAAAAAACTCAGTAGACACAATCATTTCTTCTGGTTTTTTTTATAATGAAAATAAAAATGAGTGGGTTTTCTTTGGATAACCCGCTGACTTAAAAAATTCCTCATCGAGAGTGCGAGACTCTGGTCCAGTGAGACATGTCATCATGACTCCCCTTTCAAACCATTTACATGAGACACGGAAAAAGTTTCAACAGACTGGCATTCCACAGTCGCGCCGAGCCAAAAGTAAACGGCCGACCAAATAGATTGTGATTGCAGCCAGATGAACTTTGCAACAGGGAATTTTGAAGAAAAAAACCCAGGAAATTCCAAACCACACAAAACTGGCATTCATGAGAAGTAAAAAACGAGGAAATCAGTGGATCCAAGGAAAAGTTGCATGCCTGGTTAAGTAGATTTTGGAGTCGCTCCAAGTGAGTGCAGCGGTCAAACTTGTCATGTCTGTGATTCCAATCTTTGGAACAATTAGACTCTGGAATGCTAATCTGAAACGGGTACTGAGTGCCAATGACAATGGATTTATTCCACTTGTCAGCACTAAGTCATGCCATCTGACTCGACCGAGACTTTTAGCACTATACCTGCAAAGTACTCAAACACGTGATAGTCTCTTACCAACGGCAGTACCGTTGTTTTCAGGAGCTACTGGAACACTTTTCATTGGGCGAGGACATTTGCCGCAAGACCCTGTCTAGCCACTGCAGGGGACCGTTGAGATGCACCTCGATCCAACACGGGGTGCTGGTAACCGTCTGCCGCCGGTAGTCCACCCCCCAGCCTTTAACGAAGCTCATGCGGATGGTGCAGACGTGGGTTAGCTGGTAGACCGCCTCAAAGCCCTGGCTGACGGACTGAGAGAGCTGGGCCGCAAATTCTCTGTTGTCGAAAATCTTCAGGTTGCAGCCTAAAGACAAGAAAAGGAAACAAAAAAAACCAGAAACCTGATGTCAAGCCCATGACCTTCAGACTTCACCAATCACTATGTACATGTACATGTACAGATGCCCCTTTTCTTGGAGTTGTCTGCCACATTGCTTTTGCTTTTGATGGAAAGGGACTATATTTTTCCTCGTGGGTAATTCCAGCGCTATGTGATGTCTGTAACAGAGTTTTTAAGAGCTCAATGAATAAACCTGAAAATGCATTTTTCTAATCTTTTTCATCCATCATCTAGTTAGGCAAAAAAAAATAAGTCTCCGGTTTCTGGTATGGAGCTTGCCCAAAAAGTGGTGCGGCGACGCGGCTTTTCTTTTTTTACCTGATTTTTTTGCCTCAAAATGTAGGCTGATGACTGCAAACGGTGCCCAACTAGACTTAGTGCAAATATATGGGAGTCCAGAGAGGCCACATAAAGCTTATTCTCGATCATAACCAAATCTAAAAACACGTTAAAATTGTGCAGCAGCAGGATTCCAGTCAAACCAGTGAGTTTGGCGGTTTTGAGACATCATCTTTCATTGAAAATTTTTTTTTTTTCATTTTGCCGACGCGCATGGCTACGGCGACGCGCGCGCATACCAGAAACCGGAGACTTTTTTGGGGGGCCTTATGGTCAAGAAGATTACAGACTAGGAGTTTTGGATCATTTCTCTAAATCATTAATTAGATATCATGGTTAACTGGCTCTGTTACGGACATTACACTTCATTTCACAACCTGGAATTGCCCCCCCCCCCCTTTATTTACTGATTTTGTCTAGTTAGGTCTAGCATGTGGACAATTGGAGTACGCTGTTTATGTTGTGTTATTTTCAGACATGTGTACGTGTACCACTACCACACGGCGGGATATGTCAAATGAAATTAGCCAGGAATACCTCCTCGCAAGCAATAGGCAAAACATTTCCTTTATCTGACATCCCACAAGTTCGGTTAGATTTGTTAACGCGTATGCACCTGTTACTGAGCATCATCCATTTGGTGGTTTTCCACTTACAGGAAAAAAAGGTTGTTCAAACCAAATCCGGAGAGAGAAAAATAAATAAACTAAAAGTTAAAAAATAAAAAATAGTCAGCCTAGCCAGCACCACCTGTTCATGAGCTTATTGGATAACCTTGCAACAAAAGCCATGGATAAATGTTCCAGTGTGTAACGAGAATCGTGATCAAGTGATATGAATAGAAACCAGACTTGTAATGACTCGACTCGAGTCCGACTCCAGTCACAATTTTTGGTGACTCAACTCGACTCAATTTACCAAACTTATTCATTCCACATATTGTTTGCAATTGGTTACACATCCGTGAACGGGTGCAATCCAGCTAGACTGGTTCCCTGACCTAAAAATTTCCCGACGTCTATAAATTGCTCCGTTTCATCTAATAAGTGGGGTCAGGGAACCAGACTACAGGTATGTAATTTTTCCTGGTTTTTCGAGCATCTACGAACACAAAACTTCAAACAAGACGGTGTAACAATATTTGCTATAAATACTAACCCCAATACAAAGCTATCCGTTTCTGAAAATTACAGCAAAAGCAAATGTTGTATATTCCTTGTTAAAAAAGTATAGCAAGGGAAGTCGATGGACATTTTGACTGTCTGTGACTGTTTAAATAGCAGGAGGGTTAATACATGCAGGTTCATATGCATGTCAGTGTCTTCCGTGGAGACCATTTACACTGCTACACTGTCATTGAGGAAACGGCACACGAGGGGGTGATAATTGATCTCAGCGCAGCGTGGCCCGTGTCACGTACTTTCACTCCAATGTATCCAATTACTGCATCCGAGGGAAGAGACATGACCAATCACCCGGAGTCTGCTACTAACATCCTGAGCCACACAAAAGTGCCTGGGCAGAACTTTGTTGCTTGCTAAATAGGAAACAATTCAAGCAGGGACAAAACGGCCAAATATTCCACTCAAAATGCACACACAGAAGATGTTGGGTTTTAACCCCTGAAACCCCCCCCCCCAAAAAAAAATTGGGAGCCTGTTGCGAACATGCACATTTGAACTTTTGATGAAACAATATAAATATTGTCTGTTCAGGACAACTTTTCTTGCGTCAAACCTATAACACAGTCCTCTACTGAAAAAATTGTGAACATTCAAAGACAACCTCGATTTGACAATCAAAGGCTGAAATCAATTCACATTCATTTGTCATTGTTTTCACAAGTTTGCTTCAATCATTTTCAAGGCTTTTTTTTTTGGCAGGTGTTTTGTATTTTCCTGGCACGGTCAACAGAACTGAAAAAAAATATTAAAACCACAGCTTGTACTTTTTTCCATTAATTCCACTCTTTGGCCATTCTGTTGAAGAAAGGTTTTAGTGGTGTAGCCTTCAATGAATCCACTTTTTTCCATTAATTCCACTCTACAAAATAACCAGGCACGGTTAACAAGACCAGGATATCCAAATTAAAGCAACGGAAAGGTGTATACCACTTAGCATTAAAGTGCCATGACTGCTGGCAGGGGTGGCTAGGCTTTCATAGCCGGTCTAAATTGCGTTTTATTTTGTTTTCGCTTTTCAAAAGAAACAACTTGGATTTATAGGATATGTTTTCCTGAGCAGTTTGTGAAGTGATGGTCTCGTAAAAATAAAATGGTCCTCAGAAATTAATTCAAAGGTGTTAACTCAACATTTTGGACAGAATGCTGTGCCTGTTATCAGGAGAATTTTGTATGGACTGTAGTGTTAGTACTGCCATTTGCCGCGGCTTGTAGTCTAGAGAGTTTTTAGCCTTTCCAAACCGAAAAAAAGCATGGTCCTCCATTTGCTGTGCATAAAAATACATCGCACCGTTTCCTTTAAAAGTCAGTCACTTTTGGAACTACGTGCATGTGTACTTCAGTTTAATACAGCGTGTCAAATAATTCGGCCGATTCACAATGCAGTGCGCCACCAAGAGTTTGCCACGGAGAGTTCATTTTTCCCAGTGCATTGTGGGAGATGGTCGACAAATTTGCAGCGCGGGACATTTGATATTATTAGTTTTTCCGGTCAGAAGTTTCGCAAGCGTATGATTCGAGTATGTGTTTGCCCTTTTCTTTTCTTTTTATGAACATGGTGTTTTTTGTAAGGCGGCAGAACGCTATTTCCCCAATCTATAACAAATTAGCTCAAGTTGTATACTGACACTCATTCAAATAGGGCATGTTTTGTCGACCGTAAACTTGAAAAATGGACTCTCCTCGGCAAACCCTTGGTGGCGCACTGCATCGTGAATCACCCGATTTGCAGTGTATTGGTTCATTTCATCTCAAAATGCAGCAATTACAGTGTACATGTACATGTACATGTAGTATTCACAAAAGTAAGATCAGAAAGATGGAGACGAGGTGTTTTATTTAAAAAATGAAAAAATAAAAAAACAAATTAGGAACTCCGTCCCCCCCCCCACAAAAATATTGTCTAATTGTCATGGTAACAAGACAGGAAAGCACGAAGGTCTCCCCAATTCCCAGAGGGTATCCTGAAGACAAGGAACTCCCCATCAAGAATCGAATCTCTCCCTCTCTGTCTGTCTCTCTCGCTGTGTTTCTCCGGATGTCCCCACTCCTACGACAGGGATCCTGCCTCGGATGTATGCATGCGAAAGGCGTCAGCCTAGGCAGAGAGGATGCGGCAAATCACCATCAAAAGACCCGACTTAATCAGTGAAGGAGGAAGTGAGGGGGAAGGGGGGGGGGGGGATTCTAACCAAATCTCAAAGTCTTTGTTCAGATCTAGGAAAGTACTTTCAAATAGTTTTCCCCTTTTTGGCATAACCAGGAGAAAAGTTGGATATGTGTGTGCTGACCCAAGGGCCATCTAATGTCCTCTGACTGACTATAACTTTATAAGTCACAAACTGATAAACTGATTGAGTACAAACGTCCCAAACGGAAAATTCACAAATCTAGTCATGTTTTTTTTTCACGCAATCAAGGATTACTTAGCCCCTGCACACATGTTTTGTTCTCAGCTTGTATCTGGACAACACTGTTGCTTTCATTAGTTGTCTACACTAGGATTGTGCCCCCATTTTCCCCTTGGAATGTGTGATTATCCCCTTGTACATTCTTTGTACTTCAACAAAGGTAGCTCCGTTGTCCAGTCGATTTCACAAAGTTTGCGTGGCTTACGCCATGTGTAGGACTTGTGCAACAAATTTGTTGTGCAGCTGCGCAATAAACGTACGATCGCTTTTTAATAATTAATCATTTTCAATAATTCAAACATCTGGGACGAGGATAATAACAGCATTTACGACGGCTCTGTTTGTGTGCCATTTTGTTTGATCACGAAACAGTCTTTGCGAGTAATTGCTTTACGAGTATTGGAGTAAAAAAAATCCACTACTCGCCCAGGCCTAGCTAGCAGCACTGTGGAATTAGCCCCTGGTGCTTGATTTCAAAAGGATTTGGATGCAGTCAGAGTTAAGGATGTCTGCACTCGGCCGAGACTCCAAAATGTTAATGAATTCAACATTTCTGCTTTGAACTGCCTCTACATTACATGAGGTCGGGTTGGCAAAGCAAAGGAAAAGGATTTCCACATGCCAACGGGTACACCTACGTAGATGGGTCAAAGTGTGTCTGTGTGTTCTTTTTTCTTTATTTTTTTTTCATCTTAGGGTCAACGGAACGAGGTTACTTCCAGTTCAATTACATAGTCTAGAAAGACAATGTGTCGTCATTGAGAGAGTCGGGGAAACAATTTTGTGACCTTTTTTTCCAGACTTCAAGACGTTCTCATACAAACACCTCATGCATATTTAAGGAGACTACATGCTGGAATGCAGCAGTTAAATAAGGGAAATCCTTGTCAAGTTGGCAACAGTCCCGGCCGGCATTCTTGCAAACAAACTCACACTTGTTACACAACAAGTCTTCCAGCCGAGACACTAAACTCACGCAACGATTTTCCAAATTAGGGAAATTTCTCATATTCCCACCTTATGGTGACACCGTGACGCTACTCGTTTGTCAACTCTCCTCGATTCAATCGTTTCCATTTAGCTTGGAAACGATTTAAAATGTACAAAATGTTCTTTTTATTAAAGGCATGTCTATTGTCTGTTTGTAATCCCAATGGGAACACAAGTCAGATGAAGTTTTTAGAGCCAAAAGTTTTTACAGACAAACATATGATCATCCCACCATTATTCAAACCCACCTTTTTTTAATATGTGTGTTCACGACGACTTTATTTTTGTACCAATACCAAAGGTGTCTGCTGTTTACAAAATGATAGTTTTTAACAAAAATGACATTTTGAATGTTTAATATCACCGGATATACAGGGAAAAGCTCTTTCAAATTGCACAAAACCTTGAAAACAGAATTAGGACTTAGGGTCAATCATAGAAGATAACTGAGAACAAAACCTGACTTCACTCTCGGTTCTTAGAAGTCACCAACTGTCAAAATAAATGTCACAAAAAGGTTTCGATGATTTACACAAATTGAAACTCGATCATTGCCAGGAAGTTGTCCGAGTGTTGTATGACAGCCTGAACATTAGTTTATTTTGTCCGATGATGGACTTACCAGGTGGGATTTTACAAACGGTAGCAGGATGCCAGCCGTAGCGGACGTTGCAGATCGGACTCTGTACAAAGATACTGCTGTCGCTCAGGCACTCTGCGAAAACCTCGCCTCCTATGTAGTACAGCCGCACTCCTTTGCCTGTTTGAAATGCAGACAACAGAGAAAGATAGAAAATATTGTTTAAACAAAGTTATGACAGACAGCTTTGAAACAATTTTTTTCAGACTGAGCAATGGATCTGTGTTAACTTCCATTTATACTGCAGAAAAACTTCTGTATTAAGAGGGAAAGTGTTATTCTTGAGCCAGAATATGAAACAATGTCCGAGAATCCAAAAAAAAAACAAATGAAAATGAAATGCACAAGATCTGTACGATATGACATACATGTACGGGTGGGGACAATTGTAAGTTTTATTGTAGTGTCAAGTGGATGTGAAGAAAAATGTAAATACTTATATTTTCAATTCTACAGTTAGGAAGATTTATGTGAACCAAATTTACCAAATATCCTTGCTAAGTGCATAGGATCAGTAATGAGCCAAGAGTCAAGAAAGAAATTTATGAAGAGCTGTTTTGGTTGGGTTTTTTAACGTTTCCTTTTTTTCTTTCTATTTTGGAAGTCCCCAAACCACACATTAAACTTTGTAATGACAAATTTCTGTCACATGACAGCTACATTTGTACCCTTGGAAAAACATGAGTGCGATCAAGTCGGTGTTAAGCTGTTGATTTGTGATGAACTTGAACGGACAGCTGAACTAATCCATTTTGATTTGTGCCCTCTTCTGGAAAAAAAAGTTCTTCCAATTTTTCCAAGGTCACACAATATTGCTGTCTGGGGCAACGGTGGGACAAGAGCAGACCACAGCTTCTCTTCAAAATCAAATTAAATGTGATGGAATTTCCTGTTTTCAAGACGTTTCCTCCTGCCCCCTCCCCCCCCCCCCCCCCCAAATAAAAACCTCAACTGACCCTGACTAGACGGAACAGATGTAGAAAGTAGTCGATATTGCACCGATCGGATTTCACCAATTTCTTATTCTTATTTGGTATAGGAAGAGGAATTAATGGGGAGACATGGATCTTGGTCTTAAGCACAAGCAGACCAAAGGAGGGATCAACTCTTAAGGCCCGAGACTTGTTCCGAGTAGATGATAAGGGTTTACTCGGGGTTCACACGGGGGGCAGGAGTGAGGAGGGGGTAAGGAAAGAGAGGGGGGACTTTGAAAACCTCCGGAAAACAGGATAAAGCTTGATACTGGATGAAGGACTGATTAGATGGAGCTGACTTTTGGTACACACATGTACAGGGAATTACGGACTGGTACTTTTAATGCTTGTAACATGCCCTACTTTTTTGTTTTTGGAAGGAATGGTATGGCAGTCTTGTTCCCTCTTTCTTGACAAATGTTTTTGACATATGTGAAGTGCTCAGCAAAGTGAGACGGCAGTGGGCACAGGCCATTGCAGAGAAAATTGAAAAAAAACGAATGGGGATGATCTATTTTCAATTTTCAGATTTTTTTGATATTTGTAATCTTTGATATATCCACTACACATATTTTATGTAAGGTACATTGTAATAATATAAAAACATGGAATAAAAAGTGTTTTCAGAACAAAACAGTTGGCATCTTTCATTTTCATGACCACAAAACTCAAAACTTTAAAGGTCTTTTTCTCCGTATTTTACTTTTTTGACCTGTCGATAAATGCAAAATTTAAACAGCCATAACTTGTCAACGGAACGTCCAATTGAAGTGCAACTAACAGTACTGTAAGGAGAATTTATTCTCTTTCTTAATACCTGCAAACCCTCATCTTGACCTCGGCCCAGTTCTGTCTCATTTTGCCAGAACGCATCACATATCATCGTTTCAGAGATGTGAGATTGATGTTACAGGTTTTTTTAATACCCTCAGATGATCCTCGTTCAAATCCCGTCCTTATGATCCTGGTTCAGTATGATCCTGGTTCAGTACCTACAGGTCCACACTACTGCATTTTTTTTCCCTTTCTCAATTTTAAAAAGTCAACCAGATACATGCCTAATGTACCGTACCCTACCAGATTGAAAGCTGTTCCGTCCTTGCCGTAATGAGCCAATTAGCGGACTTGACTGATCAAATTTAATTGCTTCCCCACCATGTTTTCAGGAAGCGTGCCAGGCTCGGCCTACTTGGACATGCATAATCACGTGAAGTAACATTTCTCCCAACTGCAAGATGTTGCACAATTAGTATCTCTCTGTCTGTGTCATAATATTTTTGAAAAATTTCTCAAGGTCTTAGGCGAGGAATTGAAATCTAGGACAGGGGATAACGAGCGCGCCGCACAATCACCTCCCAAACGGTAAGAAAGAAAGAGTTTGGTGGACCACTGCCTGGAGAGACATTCGAACGCATTGCCAATGGCCACAGACACAATGTCTTTGTGCACATTCGTAATAAAAATTACTCATGAGTACTTCGCGCTATACATGCGTGAACCAGTACGCGAGCGCAGCGTGTCCCGTCCAGTGAGCTCTCCAAAGTGGTAAAAAAGCACCCTCGGTTGTTTGCGCACGGAGCACAAACGCAGGAAATACCGCTAAGCTAAGTTCCGCCAACAAATGGCATTTCAGCTGGTAACATGCTCTTCAACTGCACGTAATTGGTCCCAGTATCTTCCTCCACACAATGTACTAACTTGTAAATCAGTTTACGACAAGTTATCCAAAGGTGCAGTGTCACATTTTCACTGGCTCACTGAAGATTTCATGATTTAGAAAGTGCCAGCAAAATGACAACCTTTGAATACTGGTAAGCCATAACTTTAATGATCACACTCAAATAGGCACGGTTGTCCCAAACAGGCTAGAGCTAGAGACTACAGGAAACACATCAAAACAGGCAAACAATATATACGTAGACAAAGCTGGTGGAGTGTTATGTACTGCTTTGATGAACCACCAACTCAAAAACACAGACAGAAACACAGGCAGCATTTCATCAGAGGAAATGTGTAAACCTTTTGTTCACTCCATGCGCAAACAAGAGAGGGCGCTTTTTTTACCACTTTCGAGAGCCCAATTGACTGGACACACCGCATGCGCACACTGGCGAGCATGTATAGCGCGAAGTACGTGCAACTTATTTGATTCTGAATGCGCACAAAGCAATGGCGTCTTCGCTTGAGCGTCAGGCGCTGTGTTCGAATGTCTCTCCCAGTGGTGTCCCCCAACTCTCCCTTTCTTACCGTTGAGGGGGTACTTGTGCACGGAGCTTACACATACAAACATGTGTTCACCGTCGATCGTGGACGTCCTATTGTCCCTCTTTTGTTTGTACTTCAACTTTTTAGGAAGACTCCCATAGGTTTTGTACACGACCCCAATCGCGGACGTATGCTGGGAATCGTGGACGATATTGTTCTCTTTTGTTCTCTGGTATTTTTCCTCCACGGTTTGAAAAGATGAACACGTACAAAATGTACACATGTAATCAATGGCATGCAGTGGTCCTAATGTTAGAAGCCAAAGGGCAGGTTCGTTTGCCCATCTCCACCTGACCTCAGCAAGCTCAGTGGTCGAGTGGGTTAGGCATCTGCACTAATAAGCAGCAGGTAGTGGGTTCAAATCCTTGCTGGGAAAACTTGTGAATTTTTATAGCAAGCTCTCAGACAACGCTGACTATACAATGCTTATGAAAGTGCACAAGTTGCAGGGCAAATTCGATTTTGTTACAATTTCATACCTATGTGTCTCCGCGTCATTTCAATGGAGTGGTCCCGTTTGATGTTTGACAGGAGACCGAGACAGAACCTCTCCGAGCTAGAAGGGTCCGTGAACCCGTCAATGGTCAGCGAGGGTTGGGAGGCGTGGAACATCTCCCCAACGCGGAGGTTCTTCTCGTAGTAGGCTATGGAGCACCAGAACGCTGGCTGTGTGTAGGAAAGCTTCTGACCAGCTTCAGCTGGGAATAACGGAGAAAAAAAATCACTGCGGTGAAGACAAAGTAAATGAAGGAATTGACATGTCAAACTAAAGCAGTGTCGTGATTAGTCATAGTTATCAGTCACAATTCATCCTTTCCAAATCCAACTCACAAGCTATTCAAAGCAGCTGTGACTAAGGCATTCTTATGTACATGTAGGCTTCATTAGTGCTCACCGTCCTTGTGATGTATTCCTGATCCAACACAAGTTCCTCGACTACACTACTGCGATAAAGTCCGTAAAGTATCTTCATTTATCAAATGGAAATCTGCATTCTCTTACTTTTCTTTATATACTGTCAATTTAAAAAAAAACAGGACTTTTATAGATTAGTCCGGCGACAACAACTGGCGGACATTTATGAACAAGCACCTTACTCACGCCCATTTTGAACAACTCTGAAATTCATGATTTTTAAATTTGGCATGCGCATTTCAGCAAACCTATCCGAGGATGCACTGAATGCATCTGTACAAACGAACAAGTAAAAGTATTAAAAGTCTGTCACGAGCCAATGTGGCCCATCAGGCCTGCGTTTATATCCAGTTTCAGTAGCATGCAACCACCAAGAATATTTCTATCCCCCCTGGATGGGATGCTAGTCCATGGCAGGTTACTCCCCAGCTAATGCCGGTACCCGTTTATACTCCTGGGTGGAGAGAGGCAAGTGGGGATGAAGTGGCTTGCCCAAGGACACAACATATGAACAGCAGCTAGATTCGAACCCCTGACCCTCTGAGCATGAGTCACAAACCCTAACCACTAGGCCACACTCCCCCACTCCACCATGAACAAGTACCGTCCCAAAAATTGCTTCTACATGTAATTATGGTTGCCTAGTAAGTCTAATCACTGGATTAGTTTAAGTTTAACATTTAAAAAAAAGTACTTTTTTATTTCTTTGTATTCTTGTATTTCTTAGTAATTTAGTTTTTTATTATCCATACTGGGGGTGGGTGGGAGGGGGTGTGAGCGGAAACCCCTCAGTCACTAGCCCATAAAATATGGCGCAGCAGACATCAAGCAGGGCCATAGGTATAAATAAAACCCCAGTGGTTTCCCCTCTGTGATACAGTACACAGCCCTCTGAGAGGAAGGGCGACCGACACATTTGGCCCACAGGTCTTTTCCCTTTTCCATCCCTTGACGTCTTTCACAAATAAACCCTCATCTTGTTTATTGAGTCTGAACCAAATATGATTGATTGTGGACTCAAATTTTGTTGGGGAAGGGGCTGGGAAGGGGTCACCGAGGGCAAAATTGAGAACTAAAACTTATCATGGAATCAACAGACAATGTACAAATTGGATAGTTAAAAAAAGAAATACAGGTATTAGTGAGAAAAAAAAATTGACAGTGAGAATTGGAAACTATGGGGGAGCATTTAAAGAGAACATGTATGACCTAATTATATAAAAGTTTGTCACTATTTTTGTTTTCTTTAATGAGTGGAAAATTTGGGGAAAATGCAGCAAAAATATGTCTAGCTACATGTACATGTACCAAATTTTGTGAGAATTTAAATGTTCTCGACAAAAAAGGTTGATGTTTTGCAAAAGTGTGCAATTCTTTGCAAAAGATGACCACCTTTTTTGGATTTTTTTTTACTCAACCGTTTTTGATATGTAGTTGCATTCTTTATTTATGGATCGTATGTATACATCTTTTAAAGATGGCAATTTTGCTCACTTGGTGATGTTGATGTGTCGATGCTGGCTTCACTGGTATCCATCTCGTCATTCTGGTGACTCGGAGAATGGTTTTCTGCAAGGGAACCAGGAAACAAAAAGATACCCCCAAAAATCATTACATACATATGTAAAGAACAGTGTAAATAAATATCACTGAAGGTAATTAGTCACAATCAACAGGAATATGTACATTTACTATTTTTACTATATGCATACATGTACATGCACATGTGTACTCAACTGAACTAAATTATGTTGGATTGGGCGTCTTCACATGAACTCTGGAGTCACCTCAAGACGTGAGTTCATAATGGGGTCATATCATGAAGCTTATCTCACAACACACACACTGACGTGACACAACAAAGATAAATGCAGCCTCCAGAAAGCATGCTGACCCAAATTCTGTGAAACTTACATTAGTAGATACATGATACATGTATCTTCTGAAAGAACATTTTTCACTTATTTCTTTTCTATACATTGCATCGAGCATACTCAGCCGTTAATTTGGATATGTCACATTGTTTTACATTCTGGTGATCAAAGACATTATATTATGAGGGTGAAAATATTGACAGTTCCTAGGTATTGTTTCCGTTGTGCAAGATTTGGTTAAGGGCCTGTAATTTAGAAGCTCAGGCGACGTCCGGCTCATGTTGTATGGTTGAGTCACAAATGTCACTTCTTAGAATCAACACATCCTAAGATGAGCCCTAATAATGCACTTTCAGTACACACCAGGGTGTTGGAATATAACCTTAATCCTTCCCAATCCCTGAAGACTCCGGAGGACATGGTTTTGGGATAATTATTATTTAGGATTGAGGCAGTGAGACATGGGGAGCCAGGTTGGCGTAGCGGCCCTATAGATCCTCGCCATCCACCGCTGTGACATGGGTTCGATTCCTACCCTGGCCACATGTGGATTGGGTTTTCAGTCCCTACCTGATTCTGTGTGTTTTCCCCAGAATATTCTTCTTGGGTTTTCCTCCCACCTCTACTAAACTGTAATTTCTTCTCAATGTCTTCCTGCTTTAGGTTTCTTCAGGCTTGCGAGCTACAGTGCCTGGGGCGCTTTTGAGGAATCCTTGGTTTCATTATCAGAAAAAAATGAATTTAAAAAAATTATATATATCTTAACGAAAACAAGAGCTGTTTCGAAGCAATGTACTCCGAAACAGCTAATAAGACCCCAGCTTTCAATTGCTTTGCATTTACATGGGGTTGGTGGCCCTAAAAGTACAAAGCATGTCATTGGTTTCATATGAAACGGCACATGATTGGGAGGAATAGTCCTTGCAGAGCTGTCCTGGACTCCTGGGAAGTGCGGCCGGGCGTTATCAAATTACACACAGCTGGTTCCAACATTCAGACAAGGATCATGTTTTGCAACATGAGTCAGTGTCATGTGACCTGGGTAAGAATGGTTCTTGTCAACATCGTTTCACTTCGTTTTCTTTACTAGCGTACGCCCAGTGAGCCTGACAATTATTAGTCTAGTGGTAAATTGCAGTGAAATTGACCAGCCTTCACCTTCAGAGTGAAGGAGTTGTTAAGCACACTTAACACGACAACAAATGTATTGCTAATTTGAAGGGAAAAATCTACAAAAATAAAATACTTTTGTGAATGATTTTTCTTGGAATTACATGTATCCTTGGTACAGGTCAGGGCTGTAAATGCTACAAATTTGCACTCGAGTGCATTTTTCTGCGCTTGTCATAGCTATAATTGTGTACAGTTGTATCCAAACACTCATATCTGATACACCGTGCCCTCTGGAGACATGCACACAATAGGGAACAAAACAGGGCAATTTCTATAGATGAATACGTCTCCACAAGGATGTGGATTTTACTAAAAAACTAGGAATTTCCAAGGTATGTTGATCCGTCGCAAATGATAGAGTTTTAGAAAAGGGATATTAATTCCGAATTTCGGCCAAGGAAATTAATTGTGCTTAAAATAAGAGCATTTTGAAACTGTACTTTCAAACTCGAAAACTTTAGTACACGAGAACAAAGAAATGTCTCCACAAGGATACACATAAAAAAACAGTATGGTTGTACATGTATAGTATACATTTGTACATGTACATGCTTTTGCCCACATGTAAATGTACAATGTAAGTAAATAGCAGCTGCAATTTCAAATAACATTGGTTCAATACGGGCGATTCACAAGTACAGTGCACCACCGAGAAGAGTCCATTTTTCGCAGTGCGTTGTTGGAGACGGTCGACACATTCGCCATGGTACGACTATAAGACACTTAAATTTGTTAGTTTGTCCGGTCAGTAGTTTCGTAAGCACATGATTCAAGTATCTACGGGGGTTTTTTCTTTTCTATTTCTCAAGATGATTTTTTTTGTGAGGCAGCAGAATGGTATGCCCCGACCTATAAAAAAAAGTCCTTAAGTTGTCTACTGACATTTTGTTCAAACTGCGGCAAGTCAGCCATGTTTTTGTCGACAGTAAACTTGAAAAATGGACTCTCCGTGGCAACGTCTTGGTGCCGGACTGTATTGTGAATCGCCCATATTCCAAACATGGTGTCATTTTTTGCTACTATTTCACCCCAAACGTGAATTCTGCATTAAAAAAAATTACTCGTGCAATCAGCATTGTTCCAAAATGTACAAGCAGAGAAACTGAAATATATGAGCGTCCTGGTATGAGTATGCTATTTTCAGGAGAAAAATAAAAACCACTTGATTTTCTGACACAGTATTACAAAGAGGTCAAGGCAAGATTGGCCCGTCTTTAATCATGCCTATTGTCTAGACAGTCAAGTGCACTTAGTCATAATATCACTCCAGCATCCTTGTCTGGTGACCCTCATGTAGATTCCCATCAAGGAATTACAAAAAAAAGAAGTGTTTTCTTGGGGTGCCAAAACAGGAAGAAAAAAAAAAGAAACAAAGTTTGTGCCAGCTTTGAAAACAGTGCAGTTTTGTTAGGGGAGTTTTTTTTTTTTTAAACACACACTGCTTTAGGGCACAAATTTAAAAACAAAATTTTCAACAATTTCATTAGATTTCTTCAGCTGTTTTGTCTGTTTGTCTAGCAAAATTTGGTTTTACCTATCTCCAACTGATTTCTCTTTTTTTTTTCTTGTGGAATGCCAAGATAAAATTCCAATGCTTCTTCTTGGGGTGATTACAGTTAGAAATTATTCTGTCACAAATTTTATTAAGAGAAAGGGCAACCCCGTGTAAAATGCCCATAGAAGGGTTCGTGGAGGGGTCCGGAAACTCAAAGACAAAATGGCGTACTAAATTCAGGCTCTATTGTCCACCGTATCTCAGATAGGCTGACAGACCCTTCGCCTGATTCATTTGATTCTGATTATTCATCAGGTTTAGCACGTGTACTCAGTCTGCGATAAGACCCGTACCAAGGTGTTCATCACACCAATCACGGGGCGGGGTGGGGGGGGGGAGAGAGACAACCTTCCTGACCACTAAAATCTTCCCACCTGGTCAGGATGTGCACGTGCGAAGGTTTTGTGAGCACCATTTTACTGAGACATCACGGCAGACACTAACCCACAAGTGAATTTCAAGTTAAACAAAAAACAAGTAAATTTTAATGCCCTGCGGCCATCACACGTTGGATACAAAGTCACGTACATATTTGACCTGCAATTGTACTTCATTTTTCCCCATGACTACATCGATGAGCAATTTCCCTCAAATCCCATCAGAAAAATGTGACAATTTTTTTTTTGCTTTTTGTACAGAGTTTCTGAGATTTATACAACAATGTGCTTTTGATGTGCACAATTTTTTAAAGGCCTAACGGTTTGCCATACACCTTTATTTTTTAAGAAATAAATCACCAAAACGTACATTATCATATGTCCGTTTTTTGATTGAAAACTCACTATATCATTTTTTTCCTTTGATTATTCACAAAGCATATTTTCTTTTCATTTTTTACAAAGCACTTTTCCAGAACGTTTCCTCCCAAATATTGAATTCACAAAGAAATCTTTGACATTCAAAATGACAAAGCAGCCGTGAAAAAAAATGACCTTTGTTAAAAAAAGAATTCCATAAAATATCTTTGCTCAAGCTTTACAAATATTTTTCTAATAAAATGTTAAGTAGGGCATAACTGGGTACTGTGCATTGGAACCGGGTAATGCAGGGGCGCATAGCACCCTCAGCTTCGTCTTGGGCGCTATGCATCCCTCAGGTGTAAAAAAACACCATATCCCACATCATGTCACAGCAGTCAACAATTGATAAATAGTTGGCAATATTCTGTAACGTGTAAAAAAAAAAATAACATGGTAACTGATTTGTAGCTATTTGCTCCACACACAAAAAAACGAACAGAAGGATGGAAAGGAGCTGAATAAAAAATGGCACCAGCACATGCATTGTACTTAGTTATATTCAATTCTGTGTACATATGCTAGTAAGACTAACAATGCAAGAGACACCCTGCATTTCCTTTTGTTCAGTCACTATCTGTTCCGCCATGCATAGCACTAGGGCTGTGCATCGAAACCGGGTACCCGAGTACCCGACCGTTAATGTCAGGAACCGGTTCTAGATTATGGGTTCGAGTACCCGTAACCAACCCGTAGCCATTGACTTGTTGTAGGGTATTCTGCAATTACTCCACACAAAATAAATGTAGCAAATTTTAAAAACCGCATTGGGTCAAAATTACTTGACTCAAAAATAAAGAGTCCACATGGATTCATGACCATTTCTGACAATATTAACTTAATTTGGGAAGTATCCAGACGCCACTTCAGCGGTTGTGTACAAAGTCTATGGAGAGTCAAGAACATTTTTGAAGTATTTCTTAACAAAATTGGAAATGGTTCGCAGTCCCAGAGTGCGAGTCATGTCTTTTCAACATTTTTGCAATGATTGATTTTACTAATACATTGTAATACTAGTCATGCTAGTGAGATGATATGAAGAAAAAAGTGGCGTCAGGTTGCAACATTCTTTCCAAAAGGCATGTAAGGACAGCAGTGTTAATTCGTTCCCATTTATGTCTGGTTATTATGTAAAATAATGTAGATCATTGTCATGATTGTAAGCCGAGTGAATCCATGTTAATGTTGATTTTACCATGATTTTACCTTGCGTCATGTCACTGGTCGGTTTCCGCTTCTTGAACCCAAATGGCATCCTGCACCGACAACACTCCCCCCAAATCCCCAGTGTTGTTCCTTCGTCCGCGTCCGGAAAACGCTGGAAGAAGACGGCAAATATCACCCCAACAATCTCGATCACCTCTGGTGTCCGGGACGCACGTGGAAAGCCATCAAAACTACGTGGAAGTCGTGGCAAATGAGGGAATTCTCGGGCAAAAACGGCAACTCGTCTGCGACATCACATGTTGGCTAGCACCACCATATCCACAACGTGCACGATACGGCCGGCTGTCTAGTCTGGTTTTCTGTGGTGTGTGCTATTATTATTTTGCGATGAGGTATAAACTGTCTAGACTGTTGAGGTCACATGATCAATTATACATACCAGACTTCTATTTTGATCAGAACGCGTAGATGGTGTAAATTTCTAAAACAATTATTTTATTCATTCAGCAACTTTCTCTTGGCAAAAAGTGAAATACATTACACAAAATATTCTTTTGGTCCAGCCTATTCCAGAAAAACGATGGGGACACGAAGGTATTACTGGTGGGATCATCTTACATTTTCTACATGATGGAACAAAATCCGGCTGCCATGTTGGAATTATGCAAATAATGTAAATAAAGACTGATGACCTCAAAATGTGACCTTAAAATCAGTCACGTGTTTCTTATAAACGCACACATTTTATCAAAACAATTAAATCTCTTATTTTCGGTGGAAAAGATGTGGTTTTTTTTATCTATTTTCTCCGTGAGAAAGTCAAAATTAAAATTTGATAAGATTAAGAAATTTTAGAAAATTCTAGGACCATGAACCTGTGTAGGGAAAAAAGGAATTTAACTTTAAAACGAAACATAGCAGTGAATAGGTATACAAATATAACTGTAATTTGCACCAAAAATGAAATCAGCTGTACTGCGAAAATTCAAAGTTTTGGCGTGGGCCCCTGCTTTGTGCGGAGAGAGCGCCCCCATGTGGCCACGATAGAACAGCCTAGGTAGATTTATTGGTTCTAAAACCTGGAATTTTCTATAATGTTCTCCTATCCCATTTCAAGCAAGGGCGGATCCGGGGGGCAAAAGGGGGCCATGCCCCCGCCCCCCTCCCCCCCCCCCCCCAAAAAAAAAACGTCACAATAAAGGCAGGCAATGAGTACACCACCATCTTTTCCTCAAACAAATTGGTTAAAGTGGTGAGAAATTGCCTCAGATCGCACCACAGAGCATCTAGAATTCAACCTCACGCCGTAATTTTTTTGGACACACTTTTTGGGGACCAAATTTTTTTTGCCCCCCCCCCCTAAAAAAAAAATTGTGTTCTGGATCCGCCCTTGATTTCAAGCGGTTTACTCGGAGAAAAGATTTAGTGGAAAACAATCTGGTTATTATTTCCATTTCTTCAAGTTTAGTTTGTTTCACGGAATGCATTCTTTTTGTCCATTACATGCCGAGTCTTCAAACTGACTACGCCCGCCCCACTCAAACATTCAACGGCCATTAATTTTGTCAACATATATAAACGCCCCAAAACAGCGCAGGCTGCGGCCACACCCATCGCACAGGTTGCTTTTAACCCGATAAACTTTCCGCCCCTCCAAAGTCAAACCCGATGTCCGCGAATGATTTATCATTCGTTGATTTCAATTAATCATAATGGGTGGTGTTTCAAATTAACGTCACTGTGACCGTGCATGCTGATATGGTTACAGATGAAAGTTAGCCCGTGCTGTTATTTTCGAGTTTCACATCAAAAAAATAGATTTTTTCAATTCCGTTTTTCCTAGTATTAGTTATTCACTTTTGAATGAGACTTTTGAACCCCCCCCCCAAAAAAAAAACCAACGACGTTAAGTTATTGAATTATTTCTTCACAAAATTCGAATCATTGGCTGCCAGACAATCATTCGGCTCTCGCATAAGAGCGCCGGGGTTATTGGGCACCGAAAATGAAAGCCCTTCTTCAGAGGGTTGCATGACGCCCAAAATCGGAATAAAGTAGTTATTGGTGAAAACAAAAGATACAAACGGGAGAGTTCGTTAGGAGAAGAAAATTCTATTGTTTTAAGAGCTATGAGGTGTACATCTTTAAGACGGTTCCAGCGCATAAGGCTAGTACCATTTAGATCAGTAAGTTTATTGGAGCATTTTTGTGCGTTCTGTGATCGGACCTGCAGCTAGCTGAATTCAGGGTAACAGGTCATCTCGTACCTTGGGCAACTCGTACCTTGGACAACTCGTACCTTCAACTCGACGTCATTATACCGAGTCGTACCTTGGACAACTCGTACCTTCGGCAAGTCGTACCTTCAGTTAAGACGACTCGTACCATCATGCGCAAGTCAAGTCGTACCGTCAATCAGGATAATGATCCGAGGCTGAATAAAGTGGACCGTAACTCATTGAAAGTGGACTGCTTATTTAAAAAAAGGTGAATCTCTTTTTGGTATGGGCTCTCTTTCCCCCCCAAAAAGAGGAATTTATTTAGCGCGAAGCCGGCCGCGGCAGCTTACTGTGTGCGCGGCATGCACAGGCCCACGCGGCATCCGTGCAAAGTGACACGGTTCTTGCGCCGCGCTGACCGGTCAATATGGACGTCTGTGCACGGTGACATTGATGCAGTCTGCCGTTACGTTTTTTTCTTCAGATGATCTTGCGGGTTTCTGATGAACCATTGCGCTGCTCAAGAGACGATTGCTTGTCTGCTGTTCATCATTTCATTTCAACAAGTCGGACTATGACGAAACATCTGGCCAAACCCCCGCCCCCACAATTTGTAAATGTTTCGAATAAACCAGTTGATGAATAAACCAACTGTGATTTTTTTTTTACATTTTAGACTTTCAGACTTATAGCTAGGAAAGGACTGAATCATTTAAAAGTACTGACTGCTCTTGTATACTTTGGTTATTAGACTTCACAAGAAAACGCAGAAATTACTTTATTTAGACAAATTAAATGTTTAAATTTGCTTTCTAATATTTTGTCGTTTAATAGAGTTTAATAAAGCTCGCTCTGGAAACAGGATGTTACGGTGGTTAGGCTGTATTGCATAATTAAACCACACCAAATCCGCATCTGAAGTTTCTCCACTGTAAAATTCAATCTATCTTAACTTATCCATTAAAAACAGAATGGCACTGCCGCGCGCGCCGCGCAGCTCGCAGGCCGGCCGCTTCCGAGTCACCGGCATCGGTACCGCGCACGACCGACCGCTGCTCGCGCCCTCGGAGGCCGGCCCGCCAGGCCCAATGCGGAAAATCATGCTGCCTGGCAAAGCCATTAGATCTTGAATGTGGTTCTGTGAGATAGAAATTAACTTTGACTTGAAAAGAATCATATCGTTTCGGAGTCAAGGAACCACACACTAAGTCACGCACGTACAGTGTACTCTACTTTTTATTCTGATGGTACGAGTCGTCTTAATTGAAGGTACGAGTTGTCCAAGGTACGAGTTATCCAAGGTACGAGATGTCCAAGGTACGAGTTGTCCAAGGTACGAGTCGCCCAAGGTACGAGTTGACTCGAAAGCGAATTCAGCACCCCGTTTTCTTCTGTCGCTGGACCCCTTTGGATTATGATGGTGACCTCTCAGTAAAAATGTTATCAGACGGGCTATTTTCCCCTCCCTGGCGATTAGAAAGACGGTGAAAGACCTGTTGAGTATTGTTCTGCTTACACAGTAATAGACCATGGCGAAAGCCATGAGACTTGGCTCCGTGGATAACGGGTGATACTCAGACTAACCCCCCCCCCCCCCCCCCCATCAGATCACAGATCACAGACACCAGTGATACAAATACAACTCTCCACAAGGTGTTTGACACATACATCAAATTAAAGCTTATTACATCATCTTTCATGTACAATTTTTTTCTTAATTATCTGAGGGGTAATCCGATGACTTTGGTAAGAAATTTCCACCCAAAAAAATCACCCCTAAAAGTAGTCCTGAAACCATCACCTTTTTTACAAATGATCATGCCTGGTCTCTGTTGCAAAAATAGACCAATTTTAGGGCCCAATTTCATCCAAATTTCCAATTTCATCCAAATTTCCAATTTCATCCAATAAGTAAGTACGCAGTTCTGTTTACGGCTCCCACCCTACTTTTTTGAAGTTCATTGCCCACAAAATGCTCTAATACCAGAGGATTGCTGGACTAGTGTCAGTCACTGATCTCTATCAGTCAGCAACCATAAATAGTCGACAAAACACGCCCTCTATCGGTGATTAACGACCAACATACCAAAGATAATATCCGTGACACGTCCGTCATTAATCCAAAACTGGCATATCTTAATTTTATTTGACAGACAACATAATAATGAAGCTGAGAGCTCGCGTGTGGACTTCTGGTTCGATTGGATGTTTATCGCACGCGCAGGAAGGATTAGGACAGTACTTTTATGATGGGCTTGATTTTATTTGGGCAGGAAAGTGCACGGGCCTAAGGTATCACATAAACGAATATCCACCCACAAAAAATTACGAGGAATAGGAGCCTTAGAAGGAGCCTTTATGGATAGTGAACTTTTTGGATTTAGAAATCTCTGTAAAATCTTTGTGTTAACGATAAGTGGGCGCGAAAATCCGGGAATTTTTTACATTGGCTCATCTAGCTCCCAGACCTATGTTGTTGAAACTCAATGGTCTCGAGTCTGGAGTGCTGAATGGAAAGCAAGCGATAAAAACTGGTGTGCAAATGAAAATGAACTCATGTTTTCATCAGGTGACGTCAGCCCTCCCCACCTGTACCTATAATCATAAAATATTAATATTCTGCACACAAGACAAAGCAAGTAACAAATGTCATTTTCAAATCATGTATTCATTTTTTACAATTTGTAGATATTTATTGAGATAATTCTGTCTATTGTTAACAATGCAAGCACCAACACAGAGATAGCATTCAGGTCTGCTTTCTAGCCAGAAGACATTTTGACTACACTATCAATACCACACTGAAACAGCCGTCTGTCTCCAAGACAAAACATTAGAGCATACGGCTGTGTTATGTCAAGTCCTGAAGAAAGAAAAAAAAAACATTGGGTTTATTTTCTACACGAGCGAGACATCCGATTATGCAAAACGTTGTACAAAAGGTATGACCCGTAGCATGAAGCATGCTAGAACAAAGATGGAAAAACAAGCATTCACAAAGTAAAAAAAAAAACATCCATGGGAAATGAAAGTCTGATAAATAAGTATTTAGTAAAGTTAAGTGGCCTGTTTGTGATGAATTTCTTTCGTGACTCCCTTTGATATAAGTTCCTCCAGTTGATCGAAACAGACGACTTATGCGTTTTACAATGGATTGAACATGGACTACTATTGTAAAACAGACCAAAGGATAATGGGTTGGGGTACAATGCAACCTTCTTTTTTTTCGAAGGGAAGACTAAAAAAACGGTACAGGTGTTTTAGATAATGAATTGTGCTTAGGCTGTGTGTGATTCAATGAGCAAAATAACATGCCTACACCTGACGTAGCCCAACTGAACGGTGTTTTGCATTTCACATCAGCACTTGCTGACATTTGTTTTTCTGGTGCCCACTATTTCAAGGATTCTATCACCATCTGTCATAAACTTCATTTAAAACTTATAAATGTTGGGGAAAATCTCATTTTGTAAAATTAAAAATGATAGGGTGCACATCCTGTGAGTTCCTCGACTAATTATTTAACTTTAAAAGGATGAGATAAGACATACTGAGAAGACAAAATTATAAAAGGAAAAAAGGAAGAGATGAAGCGAAAAAGAGAAAATGGCTGTCTTTAAAAGGAAGGAAATTCTACAGAAAAGTGCTATGAGCAATAGTTACATATTTACAACAATGTACAGCATACGTTTTTCATCTTATATTACATGGCATGTAGTTTACATTTATATCACAGTTTTTCTGTTTTTCAATTGTCGTCAATCTGTTGTTTCCTTAAGAGTGACCATTTAACTTAATGATGTTTAGAGATCTTGGCATTCCTCTCCAACAAAACACCAGAGCTTGGCACATACATGTACCTACACAAGTTCTAAGATCAGAACAACTGAAGAAAAAATAAATGTTTGGAAATTAAATTCATTTCCATTTCATTATTACCATTCCATTATTTTACCATCTCTTTCACTCTGGAAAATAAAAAAAAATATTAAAATTCTCAACAAAACGTGTCGTTATAATCACTCTTGCTCTGAACCGAGTCAAGTAATAAAAAAAAATTGATAAAAATATTGAGTTGAAAAAATACATCTTTATTTTACAAAAAAAAATCTTGAGTGAAATTCAAAGATTGTTTCTCAAACATGGTTCTCAAGATAAAAAAAAATAATAAAATGAAACGATAAAAATGAATGTTGGTGAGCAACATTTTATAGTTTTATCAAAAGTACAAATGCATGCTTTGTCAAATTTGTCAGGGAAAAATTATTTCGACTTGAAATGATGAAAAGAAAATGATCTGGTGATTCCGATGCCAAATCCATAAATTTCAACAATGCTTTTCAAGAAAACAACATTTTAATTAACGCTGGAGACTCCAGACGTCTTCGGGGTTTTTTTTCTCCACAACCTTGAAAGCCCATTTATAGAGCCCCTCTTTGGCTTTGTAGTTAAATCAGCTGAATCAAAACACAAGAGTCGCTTTAAATCTCAAGATTTAGGTCATGAGGTGGATATGTGTTTCAAAACAATGAAGATCAAGCTACCAGGAATCTTGGACAACTCTAGTGTAACTTTGTTGTTTTGTCGGGCAGGCATACAAAACGAAAATAGAGCAAAACCAATTTAGAATTAACAACAGATTTAGCTCAGCACAGACATTTCATTTTTTTTCCAATTCAATGACATAAAGGTTTTTTTTATAATAGAAGCAAGATAATCAATCACTACTCATTAATAATCTTCATAAAAATATTCTTAATCTTTTAAAAGTTTTTACAAGCTGCTTTCGTTTTAATTTGTTTGTTTTTCTCCTACGGTGATTAAAAATAAAATATTTAAGGTTTTCACGGAAAGGGGTCATCCTTTTCATTTCAATTCAAAACAAGACGGTTCTCTGTACAGATACATTGGGTAATAATGAATAATCGGGCCCCAATTTCTTGGCTCTACTTACCGTCAGTGAAAAAATCCCCGCTTACTGTAGCAGAAAATTCCATACTTACGCGGTAAGCATATTTCACGGGTTAGCAAGAAATTTTGGCTTCTGCACATGCGCACATCCCATAACTAACGATTCTGTGCTTACAAGCTTAGCGCAGAAATTTTCTGCTAGCCCAAAATGGTGATCGTAAGCGCGGAATGCTGTGGTAAGCAGAGCCATAAATTTGGACCCAGCACATGGACAACGCACACGACTTAATACCTCAATGGGTAGAGGCTGGGACCGATTCTCATGGAGAACACAAGTTTGCTCAGCACGAATATTATCTGCTTAGCAAAAATGGGTTACCAGGCAAAGTGTCATGCGTTGTACACTGCCTGTGACTGGTTCCCAGCTGATTCTTGCCAAGTGCATAAACTTGCTAAGCAGTACTTTCTACTTCTGAAATGGACCCTGGACCTAATTTTATAGAGCTCAAATAAGCAGAAAATGCTGCTCAGAAAATTCATGTGCTTTAGAATCCGCGGAGAACCAGTCAAAAGCAATGTACACTGCATGACACTTGGCCGGTGACCTGTTTTTGCTAAGTAAGTTATTCTGCGCTTAGCAGATATCACCGTGAAATCGGATCACTGGTCATACAGTTCCCTCTAGTTTTTGTCCGCATTAAGGCTGATTGGTTCCAAATCACCATAACCTCCGAAATCCACATTCTTTGTACTTTCAAGGAACATCAAAGTAAAGCCAGGTCGGCTTTTATCTCCGGATTCAGTAGCATGAAACAACTGAGAATATTTCTATTCCCCCTGGACGGGATGCTAGTCCATGGCATGTTACTCCCCAGCTAATGCCAGTACCCATTTATACTCCGTGGTGGAGAGAGACAAGTGGGGGTGAAGTGGCTTGCCCAAGGACACAACATATGGCCAGAAGCTGGATTCGAACCCCTGACCCTCTGATCATGAGTCACAAACCCTAAACACTAGGCCACACTCCCCCAAGGAACATCAAGCCCCATGTAAAAATAATACTGGCTGGCATCTACCTTCCTCAATGCTCGCAAAATCCTTCAAAATCTTCTGGTGGATTTTAAAACATTTGAGAGGGTGAGAGTTTAAAGGAAACAAATTTAACGGTAAAAGAAAATCATTTACAATCAATTCATCCAGACAAAATACATGTTTGCATTTTTCTTCTCCGAAGTTAGTATTTTTTCCTGCAGGGCAACAGACATTGCAGTCAATAATGCAAAGGCAGCACACATTTAAGGTACCCGTGCCATCAGTTTGTTGGGTTTTTTCGGTTTTTTTTTCAGTTCATGGATTCCTTGTTCAGTGATACGGGACCAAAAAGCCTAAAATCTGTTTTTGGGTTTTTTTTAATTTCATTTTTTTACAGATGGCGTGTAGAATCTTCTGCACTTCACATATTTATGTGAAAGTTGTGAAATAATTCTGTCAATGTGATTTTCTTTTTTCCATCATAAAAATAAAAAGAATATTCAAAGTGAAATTAAGGTATGTATTCTCGTAAGATTTTAAAACAAATTTCCAGGGACACCCTTCCCCAGACAAAAAAAAAACCTTCCACATACTCAAAGTCACCCGACTACTGCATCTTCAATTCACACTTCACAAGTGGATTTTTTATACAGGGCAGTCCTGTAGGAATTTTTCGAGAAACCGACGGACATCGTAGCAGCCTGACGCGAGGCGTACCACCAAGGGAATCATGACATGCTGGAGCACTTGTCTACTGGCGACCCCATCTGTGTCAAGACCCTATCTAGCCACTGCAACGGCCCGTTCAGGTGGAGTTCAATCCAGCAAGGGGTGCTGGTGACCGTCTGGCGCCGGTAGTCGGCGCCCCAGCCCTTGACGAAGCTCATGCGGATGGTGCACATGCGCGTTAGCTGGTAGACGGCCTCGAAGCCTCGGTTGACGGACTGGGAGAGCTGAGCGGCGAACTCTTGGTTGTTGAAAATCTTCAGGTTGCAGCCTGGGCATGGAGAATTACAATAATTTTTTAAAAAAGTGAAAAATCTGAAGCCAAAGACCTTCCTTTTAGTTTCAAACACTGAGGATCTCTCTGTATGGTGAACCATTAACCCTAACCCCTAGGCCCTAATGGCTTAGAACCATCCTCAATCCTGCAAAATTCTCCAACTGCCACCATGTAAAAATTGGATTCAGCCTCAATCCTCCAAAATTATGTTATTTCTTGAATTTGTTCAGTGGAGGGGTGACCATTGCCTCAATCCTTCAAAATCCTCCGTGCCGATGATGTAGCAAAAAGAAATGTCTTGACAATAAGCTTTAATACTGCCCTCTTGTGAGCAATACTGTCCCATGCAATGCTCCACCACAAGAGGGCGGTATTTATGATTTTCATGATGGTACCAGCACAGAATTCTACCTGTCATCATAAAAATTTATTTTCCACTCAAAAGGTTACAAAGAGAAAGTTGGTGGGGAATTCTTGCATGTATTGCCGACAACACCTGACACTCACGCAAAGATGCTGCAGGTTTGCATAAATTCAGAATAATATTAGTCATCAGCGCCGAGCGCCATACGCGTACGACTCGTGTATGTATGAACACAGACTCAAAATGGTGGGCCTTAGCGGGCCATGTAAGTCCGATACCGGCCTGTGCGCCGATTTGTCATGTTGACCTATGACGTAGGGGTCAACCTAATTTAAATATCTACGCGTCTGCCAATAGGGTGCTGCGTTAAGCGTGGCATTGAATATGCAGGAGAAGTAGGCCAATCAATACTATAGGGGAGGTGGCACAGCCAAGATGCATAGCAACCTATGAGGCATCAGAAGCAGGAGGCCGTTGCCTGTCCTCGTATACAAATGTGTTATGAGGTTATGGCTCCGGTCTAATCCCGCTGGAGCTCTCATGAATGGTGAAGAAGCACCATGTACTGTTTACGGAGTCCTAACAGTGGGACCAACCTTCTTCGATCCCCCCCCCAAAAAAAATTCCTTCCAGACCTTCAGATGGATACTGATGGATTCAGGGCTAGGAATAACGTTAAAGGTATAGTCCATCATTTGTTATTTGTGCATTTTGTTCGTTTGAAGCAACAAACGTTCTCAAAATCTAAAGAAGGGTGATAAACAACTAAGCTGATGAAGTTTCAGCGCAGCTTCAGCTGTATTTTTCAAGAAAAACAACATTCTAGGATATCGATTTCAAATCAAAAGTTGCTGAATCATGTTTTGAATTGGGCCTGAATTCAGCGTCCGAGACACGTTCGCACTGAGCCGATTGCAGCTACACCCTATCGCGCACTGACTAATTATAGAGGGCGCGCGCGCGTGTGCGTCGTGTCAATACTTGTGCGCGTTTCGCCGGATTAAAAAAACAGAACTACTAACGGAAATTTCCAACGGTGCATCTTAAGACGCACCGTTGGAAAGGCCTTCTTTCATTGATTTCTTCAAAACGACAGCTTGTCAGAAAGAATAGTTTCACGGGAGTTTAGTCCCATTGCTATCGTTCAACCAAGTATGTTTTTCAACAATGATTACGTCAGTCACTTTTTGGAGAGCTGCAAATGATGGACTATAGCTTTAAAGATGGGGGAGGAAATCTTCACGAATGAACACCCACCTGGTGGAATCTTGCAGACTGTGGCAGGATGCCATCCGTATCTTTGGTTGCAATTGGGGCTTTGTACAAACACGCTGCTGTCACTTAAGCACTCCGCAAAGACTTCCCCGCCAATGTAGTATAACCGGACTCCTTTACCTGTGGGCAGCGAAAGGAAATGAAGAATCGTAATCAGGGCTCCATTTTGTGGGGCTGCGTAGCAGAAAATACTGCTGAGCAAATTGATCTGCAAAGCGAAAACCTGCTGGGAACCAGGCAAGAGCAGTACACGTTGCACGACGTTTGGGCAGGTAACCTGCTTTTCCCAAGCAAATATAACAAGCACTGAAAAACATTAGACTCAAAATAGTTCCAGGGTTGAATTTACCAATATGTCTTCTTGTGACTTCCACCGTGGGGTCTCTGTTGACGTTGGACAGGAGTCCCAAGCAGAAACGTTCCGAGCTGGAGGGATCGACGAAGCCGTCGATGGTGAGAGAGGGTTGGGAGGCGTGGAAAGTCTCACCGACCCTCTGGTTCATCTCGTAGTAGGCTATGGCGCACCAGAAGGGAGGCTCACAGTAGGAGACGGGCTGCAGATCTGGGGAGGAACAATGATTGAAACACTGGTGATTGGAATGTTGTATGGGCTCCGTGCACAAGTACCCCCCTCAACGGTAAGAAAGGGAGAGTCCGGGGAGACCACTGGGAGAGACATTCAAACACATTGCCGACGGCGCCTGAATGCTCACGCAAAGACACCGTGGCTTAGTGCTCATTCACAAAAATGTGCGTACTTTGTGCTTCACGCGGGCGAACCAGTACGCACACGCAGTGAGATCTTGAAAGGGGTCCAAAACGCCCTCTCTAGTTTGCGCGCAGAGCCTGCAACACCTCATCGACTGATTCTATCTGTTGATTGGCCCAGAGAATGTCAAACAGTTTTTACTATTTTACTGCGCATGGCCCAAAATACTTAACCACAGCAGCCTCCCTCTGAAACAAAATATTATACTCGTAGCGCCCAATGTAAATGGTGAACAGTAAATGTAGTAAATGGCGTTCTGGTGTACATGTAGTTTTTTCACAGTTCATCAAGTTTATCATGAAATGATGAATGGATGTCAAGAACTGGGCCTATAAGACCGTAGAAAATAGAAAATGTCATGGTGCATATATGAAGAAGGTACGTCCACCAATTTTGTGAGCAATTTGCAACAGCTCAGAATTTTGAACTCAGTTTTCTTTTTGGGGGTGGTGTTTGTTTCGAGTTTTTGTTTTATTTGTTGCAGCAGGGTTTTTTTTCACAACCTACATGTCAGTGTTGGAGCAAAGGCTTTGACCCTCAAGGCCAAGGCCAAGGCCAAGGCTTTGACCCTCAAGGCCAAGGCCAAGGCCAAGGCTTTGACCCTCAAGCCTCGAGGCCAAGGCCAAGGCTTAACCCTCAAGGCTAAGGCCAAGGCCAAGGCCCTGTTTTATGAAATGACCACTGATATAGATACTAATTATAGTCACATGAGTAATACGTCATCACGCAAGGGCGGATCCAGAACACAATTCGGGGGGGGGGGGGGGCAAAGAAATTTTGGTCCCCCCCCCCCAAAAAAAAAGTGGGTCAAAAAATTACGGCTTGGGCTTCGGGGCCCACTGAAGGGCCCCAAAAAAATTTTGTCCTCGAGATATGCTCTGTGGTGCGATTTGAGGCAATTTCTGACCATTTTTACCAATGCTTTTTTGAGGAAAAGATGGTGGTGTACTCATTGCCTGCCTTTATTACGACGTCACATAAAAAAAAAACGGTTTCAAATTTTGTTTGGGGGGGGGGGGGGGCATGGCCCCTTTTGGCCCCCCTGGATCCGCCCATTTCATCACGAATTGCTCGTTACGAAGAACAACATTTCGTTTGCAATCAACAAGAGTGACACATCATCACGCAAGGGCGGATCCAGAACACAATTTGGGGGGGGGGGGGACAAAGAAATTTTGGTCCCCCCAAAAAAGTGGGTCAAAAAATTACGGCTTGGGCTTCGGGGCCCGCTTAAGGCCTGCTTAAGGGCCCCGAAAAATTTTTGGATTTGAGATGCTCTGTGGTGCGATTTGAGGCAATTTCTGACCATTTTAACCGATGTTTTTTTGAGGAAAAGATGGTGGTGTACTCATTGCCTGCCTTAATTTCGACGTCACATAAACAAAAATTGGTTTCGTTTTTTTTTGGGGGGGGGGGCATCATCACGAATTGCTCGTTACGAAGAACAACATTTCTTTAATTGCAATCAACATGCTCGCATAGGCCTACACCGTTTTATGACTGCACTGTATCTATTAAAGTATAAGTTCAGGTCTTTTTTAGACGGATTTTGGCGCTATAAAAATGTTCTCTATTATTATTATTATATTCAATTAAAGTGATCATCTCAATAGCCCCACAAGTGTACGGAATATTTTTGCAGCAAATCTACTACAATGGTAACAAAATGTGATGCTACAAAAGTGGAAGTGTGCCCAACACACAAATCTATAGGGTGCTTCCATCCTCCATGGTAATACGATTAAAATGGTAACAGCAAAATTTCGAACAGATTTATCTGGAAAATGCAAAAATCTATGGGCCTTGAAGAGCCTTGACTCAAAATTGCAAGGCCCTGAACCCTCAAGGCCAAGGCCAAGGCCAAGGCTTTTGCCCTCAAGCCTCGAGGCCAAGGCCAAGGCCCTAAAATCCAGCCTTAAGGCAGCCTTAAGGCCAAGGCCCAGCATCAAGGCACTACATCACTGCTACATGTATTGATCAAAAAACTATTCACAATTTTACAGTAAACAATTAACACAGTCATTTGAACTCCATGGTTCACAAGCCACAGAAAATAAAAAGGTAGCCCAAAAAATTTACCTAGTGAATCTGTGGAGCCGGGTGACATTGCTGTAAGGGAGATATGAGAAAAGAAGGAAAACTTTACATTAACAAAATTGTGAAACATACAAATTATACTACTATATGCAATTTCAATGGTGACATTCTTTTGCAGACACTGACTTCAAACACAGTCATTAAGCCTATGTTTGTACGAATGGTGATGGGTTTTTGTCTTCGTGGCACCCCAAAACACATGCATTTGCATGGTGGACATGTGAACAACGAAGGATGGAATGTTGCTCTGCAGCAAAACATATGTAGAAAGTCAACCATGATTCTGAAAGATGCTCTGCAAATCCTTTGTATTGTATACACAGGTAAAGACAAACAGTTGTGAATTTTTATACGCCCGAGGACAATGCTTTGTGTTTCCCTTTGTCCCTGTAATAAAACACTCTCCCATATACTAAGGCCAAAAAAAATAATAGTTCTGCTTCCGGTTACCCTACCTACCCTATTTTGACAGCCCCTACCCTAATTTTTTGGGGGCAAAAATGAGGGGGGAAAAAACAAAAATCATCAATTAATTTACCCTTGACTACACGCAGACACCTCTATATCGTACACACAAAAAATTGCCAAAAACAAATTGCCCTACTTACGGTACCTACCCTTTTTTCAAATGCCATGTAATCGGAAGCAAAACTACTTCTTTTTTTTTGGCCTAAGCACATAACCGTACGATAAGGACCGTTAAAAGACCCAACGCTCGAGGACTGAAAGGATCTTTTGTTCTCCCTTTGTGTGTCCTCTATCGTAAAGCCGTACACTTACATATACACAGACTTACTTCCATTCTGTGATGTGTCCATACTCTGTTCTGTGTTATCGCCATCTTCACTCATGTAACCTGGTGGTGGGGTTTCTGTCAAAAAAAGTAACAATTGTTTCATTATTTCTGGTGTTATATTAAAGTGCTTTCTAGTTAAAGATGTGTTCTCTGTGCTCTTAATAAAAAAAAATGCCTTTCAAACGATTTTGAGATTTGTATGTTTTTCTGACCAAAAAGACAAAAATTATATTTCGGTTAGCTGCAACCCTCTGATAAAGGGTTTTCATTTTGCGCAGTGCCAAATTATTTTTAGGCCGCAAAAAAATTAGAATTTTGTAAGGAAACAATTTAAAAACTCAATGTCAGTGATAATTTTTCGTTCAATGTCTCATTCAACAGTGAATATATTATATTTTGCTTGGAAAATATCAATGGAAAAAAAGTCAATTTTTCGGGGTGAAACTCAAAATAGCACAGAGAATGCATCGTTCACTTTGAACTTGGGTGTCCTTTTTTTTTCTTTTCTTTTTTACATTTACATCAGAGAAAGGAAAATACATAAACAAAATTGCCATCAACCCAATGCAATATTAAACACAAAGTCACGCTCTTCAGTTGCTGATAGTTTGGCCTTTGTTGTGGGGAGGGTTTGCTACAATTTGAGACGATTTCTGGACAATAAGTTTGTTTCTCTTCCCTGCGAACAGTCCAGGCAAGGAAAATTAACATTTTCACCTCTGATATTTCAAAATGTATCAATAAACTCCCAGTTGAAATCTGCATTATTATATATGCAACACACAAAAAGTGCAAAGCACTTAGTCAACAACCCATTAACAAATAATCCTTTGACAATCTAAATGGATTTTTCCTCTGCATCAACTTTGTAAAATGCGTACGTACACTTTTATGTAGTACCCGTACACAAGCTAGTTCACCATGTTCACAGGAAGTGATACCCCACAAACAAACAAGAAAACAGCTCTTTCTCAAGAGGTCCTTCCAAAACAGATGACCGCACAAGACAAGCCACATGTACACCAAAACCTCCGCTAGTCGAGTTTTTCAATCCAGTTGCACTGACCGTGAAATCTCATGATCTACTAACCCCACCCCCCCCCCTTTCAACTGCTACCCCCACCCTTAATTAATGCCCAGGGCTTCCTCTGCTTCCTGACAGGCATATGACCTTGTGACCTGAATACCAGGAGGCTAAATGTAGGGCAGGAGAGCTACGAGAGCCCTTGAAGGGACCCCGAGTTCGAGTTCGGGTTTCTAGGTCTTGAGGGAGATGATCGTGACCGCCGGGTCCTTGGAATCAGTCAAAAACAAGCGGTTTGGTCATTTTTTTTTTTTAATTCTTGACCAGCATGCACAGAGACAAGATGAGACTTGGTTTACATTGAAATATGACGAGACAAGATTGATTTACATGATCTGCCAGGATGCGCACTGAAAAATCACGAATTAAATCGAAAACTTGGTCTTACAGGAATTCAGGCAGTGTTTACGTGTGATGAAAAATTTCACAGCATCGCTGAAAGCAGCATTTCTACTTAAGAGAAAAAAATCCTTATATCTATTAAAAAAAGAAATTCTGTGCATCTGTTTGAATTGGAATGTAGAAAGGTGTCTTCTACAAAAAAAGCATAAATGGGACACTTTCCTGCTGCATAAGATGTTTTCAATTCGAGAAAAAAAATTATACAGTAGACTGGCAAAAAGAGCCTTCTGGGGTCCCCAACTCAAATGCGCCCATCGTCAGAATTTCCAATACCATCAGTGATGCTTGACAGTTGTAGCATTTCTGTACCTTCTCTTTCCATTTCACACTAATTGAAACCACTTAAGAAACTGTTCCTCTGCACTTTATAAGCATTAATGTAACAGTTCTTTTGTCACGAAACATTACTTCTTTTCTGATAACAATCCCAGATTTTTCTCTTTCGAGACGGTGGGTGAGTGCACCCAAGGCACATGCATCTGGTTTCAAGCTTTCTTGTGATCTCCATTCCACATCGAGGACAGGAAGGAAGCCAGTCCATGCACATCCTTCGCTCGTAACTGTAAACTCCACAAAATCCTTACTGAACAATCCCAAGACAACCCTGAATGGTGTTTTGTTAAACACATCGATACTTGTCCACAGGAACCGTAGCCCATTTCCAAACCGCGGATTCTTTTCTTTCTTTTTTTCGTTCCGATGACACAAATGGAAACCATGTGACCCCGCTGACTGCCAACTTCCTGAGCTGGGTTTGGCCCTGGTTCATTACCGAACGCAGGAAGAACCAGATTATTTGCTGGTACCTCAGGTTCTGCTGGCTAATTAGTCAATGTGCCGTGATCAGACATGCTGGCTACACATGGTCTTGGCAACTAACAAAAAAAAAGAGCGAGAGAGTCCATTCAACTGGGTGTGGTCTGAACAAATGAACCCCTCCAGATTTGGTCATAAACCCCGCCCACCGTTGGTTTGTGTTAACATTTCTCACAGTGCCTGTGACCCCTAATTGTCCCTAATCCTCATTCCTTTGTTTGTACTATAACTTTTAGGAAGGCCTCCCATATGTTTTGCACACGGATTTCAATCGTGGACGTTCGGTCAATCGTGGAACCCTTTGTTTATGCCCTAACCTTTTTGTCCCTAGTCCACAATTGTCGGTGTTTACAGACCCACACACGCGTCTGTGCGAGGTATTTGTGGGGACCAAAAACGCTGTGGAGACAGCAGAAAGTCCCCATAACTCAGTCCTAATTTGCCTAATAATAAAAAACTTCACCATAACGAGGTGTACGCCTACCTGCCCACGTTTGTTCATGGTGTAATTCGAGGATTTTCTATTGTTCCTCTTCCCTGTTCCTTTGTTTACAATACACTTACTTTTGTGCAACAGCTCTCATTTCATCATAATGTTGCACGTGTGCCTCCTCGATTTACACCATAAACAAACACCAACAAAGTTGCACCACTCCCGTAAGTTTTAACTTCCCTCACATTTCACTTTGTCTAAATTTCCCCGTCCTTGGATGCAAGTCATTTTGCGATCACGGTGACAGCAATCCCTTCAGTGGTTTTATTTGGCAACAATCAAGTTAGAATCTATAGATTACACCGGGCGGCAGAGGGATTATATTTCACAATCCACCCCTGACAGCCTCTTGAGTGGTTTATATATAGGTCATTAACCCAACACAGGAAGGCCGCTAACGAGGCTTCAGTTTAGAGAAGAAATCTGGGCAGGGATTGGAAGAAACTTACTCTGGCGTCAAACAAACTGGCTCCAGGAAGGAGGGAGGGGGATCTAGGGGCGCCAAATATACCAGGTGGGGGTGCAGGGGGGGGGGTGGGAGGGGGGAACACAGCACCATTAATTTGCTGATTCACCAAGAGCTTATTAGTGATTCAACTTTGCATGGCACCTTGATTTTTAGTTTTTTTTTAAAAGCCAAGGAAAAAAAACAGTGCTACTAGCTTTTAATGGGGTGTGAAAAACTTTGTTTTCAGTTCTGTCAGTTTCCAACTAAACATGCTATTTCCAAAAAAATTATCACAAAATATATGTAATATTCCCTTTCGGTCGTGATTAAACTCATTCAGCAGAATTTAAGACTCCCTTTTTTTCTTTTCCTTTCCAAACAAATAAACGAGTCAACACTATCATAAGCCCCTCGTTTTCTATGTAAATCTCTGTGCGTGTCTACCAGTACACAGGCACGCACACCCAATGGCACACCATGACTTGTATAAGCTTCGTGTGTTGAACCACATTCAGGGCATGCATTACTTAACATTCATTTGACGCGAAGTACACATGACTTATTTTATTCTCCATGTATACAAACCGGTACTGATTTTGCCTGAGCATCAAGTGTACGGCCACAGTGCATTCAAGAGTCCCTTCTAACTCGCTCTGTTTGTACCCTAACCCCCATCGGGTATTCTTGGGATGCCCTGCTAAACGCAACAATATCCAACACAACTGAAGTGAGAACCCTACTAAATGCAACAAACTGCAAGAGTAGATTCTGTTGCATTGTGCAGTGAACCCAGTGCATACCAGCCTTGGCACCACGTAGTTACCCTGCTAAATGCAATCAAATGCAAGATGGATTCCGTTGTATCGACTTGGCACCATAGAGCAGTTACCCTGCTAAATGCAACAAGATGCAACAAAGCACGGGGACTTACTTGATTTGGCTGCTAAATGCAACAGTATGCAACCATATTTTACCATAGTTGCTTTCTGTTGCATTTAGCATGGTTAGGGTTACAGAGATTTTTGTACACAGAGTCCACAAACTTGTATCTACATCTAGCTCAACAACTAAATTCCCAATTTTGCAACATCACTCTTCTGTAGTCTTTTCGATTTCTTGTTTAAATTTCTTTACCTGGTGGGAGAAGATTCTGGGGCTCCATACCAACTGGATAATTAGCATTGTCCGGAACCGTACTACTCAAGTCGTCCAGTGCCGGCAGCTCTGTAGGGACATCTGTTTGCCTGGGTACCAGTACAGGTGGCAACACTATGAAATCAGAAAGCAAATTAGTGGACACGTGAGAAGAATTGGGTTTGTTTTTTTACACTTAAACGTCAATCTTGTATACAATTTGATTGCTGTACCCGCTGCTACCTGTACATCGGATTCAAACCAGACCTGTACGGTAGCTGACCCCTGCAAGCTCGGTTGTCAAGTGGTTAGACTTCTGGACTTGCAAACAGGAGGTTGTGGGTTCGAGTCCCACCTGAATAAGATTGTGATATATTCTTTGCAAAAGCCATTGGACGACACTGAGTACACAGTGCTTATGAACTAATGTATGTCGGTGATGGGCAGGACCAAATATTTAATGTCAATCTTCTTTTTTTTTCATGTTATTTTTCCATCAAAAATAAAAAAAGGAAAATGTACTTTAAGCAGAACAAGAACAAATTTGAAAAACCGAACCAACAGAAAACAATTCTTTGCAGCAACAAGCTAAATTGCTTTGCTACCGTATGTTAATCATGACTGCTGACAATCATCCTTGGAACATCTTGTCAGCTCTTGCTGCAACAGTCCGATGTTATCATACAAAACAGCCAAATCAAGCCACCAGTGGGGATCGTTATAACGGTCGGGACACTGGCACCAAGCGCATGTATGTCAGCGATCTCGGGCTCTGGCTTTCAACAACTACGCAGCGGTTTCCAATGTCTCTAATTAAAGACCCCAAAAGCAGAACAGTACATTCACAGTCCCCCGGCATGGAGACCTTTCCAGAGGAGATGTCTGCGGCTAAAGGTCCGAGATGGCAGGCATTGTTGACCTTTGACCTTCTGCTTGTCATTCCACAGGCACCCTGGCCTGAATGTTCGGTCTTCTTCGACATCTCTCTTTTCCTCCCTCTTGGGAAATGAAGACTAATCTCAGCGCCGACTACTTCGTGGATTAATGCTCTCTTCTTTCCTTTGATGACTCTTTTTTTTTCTTTCACTGGCATACCTTTGGAAATTGTTTTTCAGATTTGATAGTCGGTGACAGTTAGGGAGGTTGAGTTGCTTGTTCAACTGCATCAGGGGCTGTAGTACCGTACATGTACATGATCATTTCTGCTGTTGTCAATTACGGTGAAATCTCGATAAGTCAAAATCTGTTAACCCAAAAACCCTTGTAACTCTAAAGTAAAACTGTATTCCTGTTGATTGTTGTCGTATAGAAAATTCATCGGATAACTCAAAACTCTGTTTGGCTCAAAATTTGAGCCAATTCCACTGAGGTTTGACTAATCCAGATTCCACTGTACGTGCCTTGGTTTTATTGTCATTGTCCTTAAAGTAACCCAACTTGTTAAAAAAAAACATTTCAGGTCTGTCAATGGAAATCCAACGTTAACAAAGGTAATCAAACACAACGAAAGCTTGGGTAAAGATATTAATACGAAAAAAAGGTTACTGCTTTCCAAATAGAAGTGAAATCAGTGCAAAAACGACATCCAAATATTTCACTTGCCAATTTTAATTAGTTTCACAGGAGAACGGTAATTTCATAAATCAGTTTTCTGCAAGACAAGTCACTCACTCACATCACTTCTTTAAATTTTGGGGGGTTTTTGGTGTGGTGTTTTTTTTTTCAAATCAAAATTATGAAAAAAAAATTGATTATGCTGTCTATACGCATCATAATTCAATTTCTGAAATTTAACAAAAATTGAATGAGTCGCTTCACATCATATCCAATAATATATTCCATCCATCCTGTTACGCTAAGATACTCAAATATCTCGTGAATATGATTTGCTCCAAAACAACTTGTTACTTGGCAGAAAAACTGATACTTAATTTTTTTTAAATGATTTGAAAATTACCCTGGTCCAATGTGAACACAGAAGTTAGTTTATACTCTAATGGGACTGGACATCGATGTCACCAAAAAGTTTGCAGCAAAATTTGCCAGAGTTAAAACAGTGTCCAACTTTTGCAGATTGCAGCAAGATTGCTTGTTGTGCCATCACAATGTTCACACTCCCATTCATTTTTGGCACTGAGTATGAACCGACCTTACAAGTAATATCTTTCAGATTTACTACTGGTTGCATTTTTTCAGTTACCTGGTGTCTCGACCCTTGTGTAGTGATAGGGATTGACGCAGACCTCATCTCGCTTGAGTCGGAAGGCAAACTCACAATGCTCGATGGGCTTGAGCTCATGGTGGCTCTGTAGATCCGGCCATCTCCACAGCCGACAGTACATGACGTGGGGCAGGCCCTTCTTGTGTGAGACTTGTAGGCGTCCATCTAGGGACCTGATTGGACGAGACAAGGGAAGATGAACAGGAGGATGCGTTAATACGAGGATGTTCAATCAAATGTCTTGGGGCAGGAGGAGCAAAGAAACAGTTCTAAAAAAGGACATTCTGAGAAAAATCTTCTATTTTTTCAGTTCAACTAGATATTTGGATCAGAAATGCTGATGTTGGTAACACAGATACACATTTATGTACATGTTTACCAGTATACATCAATGATTTTTACATGTCTGCCAACACAACATTGTGTACCATGTACAAGTACACTTATGCACACGAAAGCAATTATGAGTGCAGAGTTGACAGAACAAGTCAAACTATAACTTCTATGAATCGTTTTGTTCCAATTGTGTCCACGATCTGTCCAAATTGTAGTCTATGGAATATCCCCTTGCACAGCAAGGGTCTATGACATGTGAGCAGATTCGGCGATGAATTATGCAAAACAAGACTGCATCTTGACCATGAGATTCAACCATTCAGCGGACGCCTTCTATCTAGGGTCTTCGGTAACCCGTTGTCACAGACATCTAATTAAACCTAGACCTGACATATATTATGCTTTTACGTTGTGAATTTGAATTGTGTTAGTAAAAACAGGCTGCGTCACCATCTCGTGGCCTATAACGATAATAATGTTACGAGATGCACGAATGTCCTGTGGCTTCCAATGATCACCACATATTTTAAATAATGCGCATAAAATGCGAAAGCCTTCTTACGCATTCACGTCACGCCCAAGATGAGCGTTCGCGTATTCTATATCCAATACAGGCAGCGTTTTACAAACAGTTTTGAGAGCCAATGTCGTGTTGCCTCTATACCCGTTGTTGTATTACAAAAACATGGCATCCAAATTGACCAATCAACTGCTTAGTCCACATTTCGGAATGAAATGACGTCACCATTTTGTAAAGTCGACTCCAATTCGCTGGCGCGCAGGGTCGCATACATTTGCATGCTTAGATATATCAGACGTTGGACCGGAGACAGAGAGATCTCTGTTGGACAACAGGTGACACCATGCTCAGACTTTCCAAATTGGTGAAGAGTTAAATTTTAGAAAGATAATTTATTGGGGGGGGATATATGCTTGAATTCAGTAAAGGAACCAAACTTGGAGGAATAAATACTCAAATTACAGATATTTCATGAACTTACAAAGAACTGACAAAATTAAATTGATAACCAACAATACAGGGGAAACAGACAAATACACAACGCTTAAACTGTATCTACAGTGTGTAGTTTGGAATACAATTGTGATTTATGGAATTTCAAAATTGTCCCTCAACACATACCTCTGTATTTCATGAGTTTTTCATGAGGAAACCTTACTTGTACGAAAACCAAAAACCCAATTTCATGGGCTGTGAGAATACAATACACTATCAGACTATGGGCCTACTTCTAGCGTCAAAAACAAAAAGAAAGTGAATCATTTGAAACGGATCTCTCTTACAGAAAATAAAGCCCGATGTCTTTTTTTTTGTACACGTATACATTGCTATACTTTCAGCAGCACTGAAGCAATGTTGCAGACTACAAATGTTCATGGAAAAAAATGTCACATAAGTCTTGCCAATGTTCGTCTACATATGTACATGTACTCTGAATTTTGCATTTCACGGAAGCGAAAACGTAAACTCCCTAGGAGTCCACAGGAACTGAAACTTCATGTTGGCAGATTCTCTCATATAAAAAAAATACAAGTTCAAAACAAAGCATTCCAATGCAACCTTGGAAACTGGATATTTCGATTTCGCAGCAGGTGCCAAACGCCAACCCGCAGAGACACGGCTATGTTCATGGAAATGTTTGGGTGTTTATAGTCATGATAGTTTTGGTTGTTTGGTTGTGTTTTTGGCATTGTTCCCAGTGTCGTATTTTCTTTTGTTGTGCTGCCAACTGCTTCCAAAGTTGGTCACAGCATTCCCGAATTACAAGGTGTCACAAACTCTGCATTCTTTCATGATTCACAAAACACTCATTATAACATTCTCATTAATTGCAAACGAGGCTTGGGGGGGGGGGGTGGGTAGGGGGAGGCAACTTCACCGTCTGTCGCCTGCTTCGTGGTCGAGTATTAACTCGTGAACACGTCGTGAACACACACACACGCACAAGTGTGTATTTGCCTGCAATCAGGGACCCTCTATTGTCCTTCTTTTGTTTGTTCTCTAACTTTTTAGGAAGACTCCCATATGTTTTGTACACGATCGGAGATTGGGGACCTCTTGGGAATTGGGGACCCTATTGTCCTCTATTGTTCAACGTCCCCTATTTGAATGCAGAAACAAACTCACACTCACTTGTGTACACCCACACCTATATGACCGAGGACTTGGGACAATGGGGCGTGTGCGATAACAATGGGCCCGGCGTTGCCTGAGGACCTGGGCACTAGTCCTCGGGAGAATTTCGTGTACAAACCTTATCGGAGCTGTCTAGAAAAAGTACAAACAAAAGGGAACCTAAAGAAGGAACAGGGTAGGTCCTCATGAGTATAGTACAACACGACTGGGTGTGTGTGTTTGCCTGCAATCGGGGACCCGCAATTGTCCCTCTTTTGTTTGTACTAACTTTTTAGGACGACCTCCCATATGTTTTGTACACGATCGCCAAATTGGGGACCTTCAGGAATTGGGGACCCTATTGTCCTCTACTGTTCAAAGTGCCCTATTGAATGCAGAAACAGACTCATACACACCCACCCGTACTTATGGGGAAGACCTTTGCTTCCCTTCTTTTGTTTTCCTTTGTTCCTATTGAAATCTCAAAGTCCATAGCGTTTCCCTTATGGGGTAGATTGATTTCTAATATAGGGTCTATTGTTCTATTGTGTTTTCTACCCCATAAGAAACCCTGTACATGTACTTTTGTTTATGTTGTAAATCAAGGATTTCCTTTTGTTCCTCATCATTGATCTTTTGTTCATACTACCGGTTTATCTTTTTTGTATAGCTGCAAATGATGGACTCTTGCCTTTAAGCTCCTGCGCAACAGGAATACTGGCTAGCGTTTTAGTGGGTAGCATTTTGGCCAGAAAGCAGCTCACTAAAAATAGCCAGTCCTACGTAAGCACACCCACACCATGTCTGGCTAAAGCACTTCAAGGCAAATTCATCTGTAACCATGGCAACTGGGCAAGTGTCAACACAATGAGTATTACAAGAAGCCAAATCAAAAATATATATTACGAGTAATGACCAATTGCGCCGGAGGCATATAAAATTAACAGGCATAATGCATTTATCGGATACAAATGGCTGTGTAATAAACATCCGATGTACGTGTATTGTGTGCCAATATACATGGTTGGTCGAATTCACTTCAATGAGCTTCCTGATATAACTGACAAAGATTTACTTGTATGACATGTTTCTCCAAAGGCATTGTATCAGTATATTACATACAGTATGTACACGATAAATGTAAAAAGAAACCTCATGGTTTTCAAATGGAGAAGTGTACATCCTAACCAAAATCTTATAAATTAATGTATTTATTTTTTTACAATTCTCAAACTTTCTTTGTAAACAAGCGTTCTCCATTCGTCACCTTTTTTTTTAATTATGAATTTGCATAGGCTTGACACAAAGTAAACTGTAAACTCTTTTAAAGCTTAGTTTTAATATTGTGTATAACTTAGCCTACAAAGAAATTGGCAAATAAAACAAACAAAACAAAACCAAAATAACAATCACACAATAAGCTCTAATTTTGTCAGAAGATCGGGAAATATTTAGGCAATTTGTTTTTCAAGGAAAGCATTTTTCTCAATGGAAAAAAAACAGCTACTCTGAAGTTGAGCTACATTTTTTTTTTAAAGAGTAAACTCACCAAGAAATTACATATGTACATGAGGAGATGGTGACACAGAATACGGCCTGTAGTACCGGTAGGCATGCACAGTATATATTTTGAAAACACTCTAACAGCCAGGAAAATAATTTGAGGAAAATAATTTGATGAAAACAAAATCTTTACGAGGCCATGATTATACATGTAGGTGATGATGACTTATAAGGTCGAGGTAATAACAAGAAGAGCATAGTCATTTTTTCCAGGGTAGGGAGGGGGGGGGGGTAGGGAACTTGGCACTGGCTTCCACATTAACTGGAAAAAAGGAGGATAAGAAGCATGTTGCAAACAGGGTTGTTAGAAAGTTTTTTTTAAATCATTGAAGATAGGTGCCTACGTGCAGTTCTTTGTAGTCTGGGGTAGTGACTCGAACCATTTTTGCAATTTTGGAAATGTACATTTTTGTACTTTTAAAATACTTGATGCAGACTTTTTAATGTGCTCCAATTAAAACATACATGTAGATAACTACATGTACGTTCTTTTTTGTTTAAATTGTTCTCCCTTTCAGTGTCCACCTAAACATGCAGAATCTAAGCACTGTGGAAATCGGAAGTTTCAATAATCGATATATCGGAAATCCAATATCGGGAGTATTCGATATATTGATTATAATAAAACATAAAGATGACACTTTGATTAAAAAAAACAACATGAAGTCCCAATTCTCCACAGCTTTCTCTGGAGCATAAGACTCAAACTTTTTAAAACAAATATCGGCACTGAGAGTTTGTCCAGAACGGGTAGTTTCTTTTGAAGTTTTACATGATTCCAGCAAACGCGGAGCACAAAGTGACGCCGCTTGGCATTTCACGATGTTATCATTTTGAGTAACAAGCACTTAAGTTGTCGCCGAGTTTTATAACATTATACAGCAAACGTTAAACACAAAGCAAAAACACAAACGGGAGATTTGTTTTGACGATAATCTGATGCATTTTCGATATTTTTGATATCATTTCTCAATATTGAAAATTTTAATATTTCAATATAATTTTAAAAATTGCTTTTGGCGATATCGATAACAAAATAATATAAAATAATCGAGTAATTTCAATATATCGACGGTGCTTAGCAGAATCCAGTTGTTTGTTTTTTTATTTGTTTTACTGTTTTGTGGAGGGAGGCTGTTCTTTTTTAACCTTTTAACAGAAAATCAACACTGCCGATATTCCTTGCAGCACAGTACATAAGACATTATTAAATACTATTATTGATCATTATTTTTAAATCAATGTAAACAAATTCGGAACTTTCAACACCTTTGAGCCACATTCAACAAACTACAAAACTGAATCAACAAACTGACTTTCACCAACATTAAAATAAAAATTACATGCAATGCAGGCAAGACTTCTACAGAGAAACTTTATTTAACAAAAAAACACAATCATACGTTAGTACTAGTTTAGCTGAATGAAACACTTCAAAATAGTATTTTAAAAAATTTATGAGCAGAAAAACCTTTCATATAAACGTATTAGACACTGTACATGAACAAACTTATGGCATTAGGGTAAAACTTTTTTCCATTTGTGGGCAAAAAGATGATTGAATGTGAACTAAACAAAACTATTTGGAACTTCTAAAGTTCACTACTCTTTGGCAGAAGAAAGGACAATTTTTTTTCACAGCATGAAAAAAAGCAAACACATCACTACGTTTTCTGTTCTACTTTTTTTTTTGGTAAAAAGCAAGAAAAAAGAGCAAGCAAGGGTCAATTGTGACTTACGATTGGGCTTTGGTATTGGTAGGGTGCGCCAAAACGTTAGTCCCACTGACCACATGCTCTGATCTGGAGAAATACAACAAGAGACCATATACACGTATATAAACAATTTAGAGGGTCCATGAGACGAATGTTTCTTAGGAACACATTTTGTGCAACTTTCTACTCCTCTTAAATGTATGAAAACTATTTGACATCCCTTTTTGGTTAATTTTATTGAAAAGTGCACTTCTTTAAACATTTTTTTAAAAATCCATGCTATTCTGGACAACTGAGGGCGCTGTTGCTGTGATGTCATTTCAGGAAGGCACTGGTCAGTTAAGGGGTGTTGTGTTCAAATTGTGAACCCAAAAATGTGCTTATTGAAAGCATTTGTGAGAAAGGTTTGCTCATTGGCTTACTTCCAACGAATCACAAAAGAATTTAGAAAATTTACGTCAGCAAAAATATCCGAAATCCTGGCAACTTCTGGTGCTGAAATAGCTGTTACCAAATGGTTTCTGCCTGGAATGACATCACACTTTTGCTCATGAATATGGAAATTTTTATTGGCACAAAAACCAGAAACGCACTAAAGTACCCTTGAAAATGGCAAAACGAAAATTGAAAATAAGGTTAAATGGGACACAAAGGTGGCTTCTCAAGGATTGCATAAAAAAAATACATTGCATGGGCCCTTTAACCCTAACTCCCTAGGCCTTTTTGCTAGGATGTAGCCTCAATCCTGCAAAATCCTCCAATTGGCCTCATGGAAAAATAGCATATAGCCTCAATCCTGCAAATTCCTCCGCCGTTTCTTGAATATGGTCCATGGAGGGGTGACCACTGCCTGAATCCTGCAAAATCCTCCGGCTATGACTGTCAATAGGCTGAGGCATAGGCAGTGACATCCTGGAGCAGTGCGGAGGATGTCAAGTATAATCAAGGACTAAATTTATGCACGGCTGAGCATAAACAACACAAGGTCCGGCCCAAGACCTTGACACAGTGCGTACTCCGAAATCAGCAACCCACTTTTGCCATGTAACCTCAATCATGCAAATTCCTCCAATTTGCAAAAAGGATTTTGGAGGATTCAGGGCGGTTAGGGTTAATGTCGATTTGGTATGTACAATTTGGTATTGTGTACAAATTCAAGAAATTTGTGTAAAAGGTGTTTTTCCCCTGGATCTAAATACAAATAAGTAGGAGTTGCATGAAAAAAACGAATATTTACTTGTGCACCATTACCTAACAGTAACAGTCTAACTTTTTTTATAAAAAAAATTAACATTGTGAGCAATAATTTTACACATCTTTGCTATGTATGGCAAATATGTTCAGCACTTCTTGTAAATTTACATAAAAGAATGGTACGAGTACGGAAAATGTACATCACAGCTAATGATGGCTGTTGATACAGCACACACGTTCACTGGTAAATTACATGATATTCAACACTGAATCAACATTTATCAAAAACCTGAAGATTTACCGACTATGACATTTCCATTGTTAGGGACATCTTAATATTAATTTACACTGTAACCCTAACCGCCTGGACCATTTTGGCTAGAATCCATCCTCAATCCTTCAAAATCCTCCAATTGCCACCATGTAAAAATTGGATACAGCCTCAATCCTCCAAAATCATCCGTTGTTTCTTGCATTTGTTCAGTGGAGGGGTGACCACTACCTCAATCCCTTTAAGATCCTCCAACAATCATTATTACACAATAAGGAAATTGCCGATGATATCCAGAAGCAGTGCGGTTGACATCTAGTACAATCTAGGCATAATTTGTTCATGGCTAAGCAACAACACAAGGTGCAGCTTGAGACCTTGACACAATGCACGATCCTCCAAAATCAACTGGCACAAACATGGAATACAGCCTCGACCCTCCAAAAACCATCAAAAACCGCCTGGTGGATTTTGGAGGATTGTGGAGGATTAGGGTTAACCACTGTTTGACTGCTGTGTTTTGTGGTCAATGGTGTTGACACATGACTGTTCTAAACCAATCAAATTACAGTATCGCAAGACACAATGTAGCAATTCATGCACGTCCTGAACGTAAATGTCCCTGTCAAAAAAATTTAACATTGGTTTAACCATGACCAATTGTGAACTTGAAGTTCTAAATTAATGAGTTTAAAAATACTGTGCTTGTTTACATTAACGGCCCTGGTTGCCATGGTTGTTGTTTGGGATTGAGCACATGATATTTGTTTCCTTTTACGTGCTTACACTTTGTCTAATGACCCAGCTATTGTTGTAAACATGTTCCACTTTGAGAGTGCTTGTGGCACACAAACACACAGAGTTCAATGTCACAGGAACTTCTCCAAGACTGGTACAACCAAAACACATTTGACCTCTGACCCACAAGGCAACAACTCAACAATTGCTACTGTACCTTAGGGGGAATCTGAAGGCTACAGGTACCAGTATGTATTTGGGCACTGAGGATCACAGGCTGTAAGCACCTACATTTTTTTGTACACTGTGGTTACACATCCTTCTACTACCGCGAGTGTGTGTGTTAACAATTCATCTAAAGCATACCATTGTTTCTAAACTTAACCCTAACTCTCTAGGCCTTTTTGCTAGGATGTAGCCTCAATCCTGCAAAATCCTCCAATTGGCCTTATGGAAAAATAGCATATAGCCTCAATCCTGCAAATTCCTCCGTTATTTGTTGAATATGGTCCATGGAGGGGTGACCACTGCCTGAATCCTGCAAAATCCTCCGGCTATGACTCACGCTGAGGCAGAGGCAGTGACATCTTGGAGCAGTGCGGAGGATGTCAAGTATAATCAAGGACTAAATTTATGCACCTCTGAGCATAAACAACACAAGGTCCGGCCCAAGACCTTGACACAGTGCGTACTTCGAAATCAGCAACGCACTTTTGCCATGTAACCTCAATCCTGCAAATTCCTCCAGTTTGCAAAAAGGATTTTGGAGGATTCAGGGCGGTTAGGGTTAATGACCGCCCATGACACTGTTCAAAGAGTGAATACAATGGAGATTTTCCTTGACAAGTTTCCTGAATTACAAAATCTGGCGTGAACACAGCATACATGTAAGCATTCCCTTGGACTTCGATCAAGCATCGTCTTTTTCTCTTAATGATTCCTTGAAGCGCTGTAACATGTTTAAATCGAGACTCGAGTAAATCACCGCAGAAATAGCGCAAAAGGGACCCAACACCTGCGCACTGGGAAAACCTAAAATAAAAACAACGCTTGAGTCATGACAATCGGTTTTGAAGTACCTGCTTGATTTATTTTTGTCCGTGGTTACCGGGGGAATGGGGCATGGTCCTTATTATAGCGAGTTGCCTAACAACCTCATTGAATGCTTCCTTCCTGCTAGGTTGTGACTTCGGTTGTGACTTCCTTAGTTGTCAGGGGCATTGCGGACCCAACCCAGTGAAAACAAGTCCCATCGTGGAGGAAGTTGGTCAACCATTACATGTAGCCATCAGGCCAGGTTTCCCTCTAGTAGCTGACAGTACTTGACCCCTATCTACTGAATCTTTTTTTTTCAGTTTGCAACCACAAAATTCACAAAATCCTGTCTTTTTTAGTCTTAGTCTGCAGGAATGCTCTTTCCTTAAAGGGAAAATACAACATTTGCAAACATCAAAAAATAAAACTACCAAATCATTTTGAAATACCTTGCTGGACTGTTAGTGAATAACAGTGTAAAGCATCCTGTAAAATCATGCCACCTGGTATACTGTCATTTTCAAGAAGTGGTATTTTTGTATCAATTTCCAACGCTGGTCGGCCGACCAGCGTTGGAAAAACTCTGGCTATTTTTTCAAATACTGGCCCCAATTGACCATCGCACTTGTTTGCAATCGATTACACCCCTATGAACGGGTACAAGCCAGCTAGACTGGTTCCCTGACCTTACAATTCCCCAATGTATGTAAACTGCTCTGTTTCTTCTTATATGCAGTCAGGGAACCAGACTACAGGAAAATGATTGTTTTTCTTGGTTTTTATAGCATTTTCGAACCCAAAACCTCAAAAAAGTCAGTGTAACCATATTTGCTATATATTTCCAACCCCCAATTCCATCCATTTCTGAAAATTACAGCAAAAGCAAATGATGTATATTCCCTTTAACATAACACCATGGAGAAATCCAGGGTGATTCACTAGTCTCTTGAAAGCTCATGAACATTACATGATGCAGGAATTGCCCACAGTTAAATCATAATGCAAAAATGGAAGATGCATGCTACGGTACAACACTGTCACATGACATACATGTGACATACAGTTTAAGGGCACAGCAAAACATGTCCATGTTCTTCTTTTTGACCAAGTGTCAAAAGATGCATCCTGATCATGACACTAATTCAGCCCAAAGCAGGGGTCATTGTTTTTACTTTTACAAAACAGGTGCTACTATTCTTTTAATATATGCTTGTCCATATTCTCACAGAAAAAGGGTATCAAATACGAATAGACTGTACACCATGTGCTTGATATGCAACTCAACATAAATTGCAGATCTCTCGGTAATCGTTATCTTTAGGGCCCCATTCATAACGTGACAAAGAGTCACCAAAACAGCTGACTAAATGACACTCAAAAGAGACACTCTGATACGGTATTTCTTGACACATCTGAACAGCTGGTAATGACACCTTCTTGAATATCAGCAGGTTTAATTTTGTGGAAATAGGGCAGGGCTTTGAATTATGAAGGAAATTATGAGGTAAAAGACGTCGACCACAACCAGAAAACACGCTCGAAAACCAAGATGACGACTGTGCCAAACACTGCCAAAACTGGTACGAATTTTACATTTTCTCCCCATGTCCGTTACAAAATGATATTTACATCCAGTGCCAAAGTAACATAGTAAGATTCTCAAGGCTGCAAACCCTAACTTTGGAATAATACACATTCCGTAAGAAGTCTCATAATAGAGCGGGGAAAAAAGTATCTATAGGTGTCCATAAAGTAACGATTACAGATTTCTCAACCAAATTTTGAACTCAACTCAGCAGAACAGTTTTTCTACCTTTTGACAAACAAACCTGCCACATTTCTCAAGAAGAACAACGGCTAAACATTCAACACGTCAATTTTATTTTTAAGATATCTGGATCTCATAACAAATAAATACAAAATTCCATGCACGCATTGCTGTATTAATTACAACGCAATTGAATGCATGTACATGTTGTTTCATCCATACTGTACAATTCCCTAGTTGGTCACTATTTTCAAACCACACCTTGAAATACAGTTGTAGAATTAAGTTATTATGATCTCAACAGATGTTCACCATGTTCACACAGCCAACATTTAGGTGTGTATGTTTGTAGTGGCTCACACTCATATCATATCATTTTGCATAATGACATTTGATTGAGTGCCAACAATATCATAACTCTGCACTAAGCCATATGCTGCATATTGTTGGGCGTGTTTGGTTGATCTGCGCGATCAGTCGATCGCACTGCCCTATTTTTTGGTCGATCATTATGGATATCTCAGACTTTACTTAGGCCTACCTTTTTTTTTAAAAATCGTCCAGAGCCGTGAATTAGAAAGAAAAGGTGTTCAACTGGTGGCAGCGCGATCAACAGATCTGTATAGCATCACGATCGACCGATAGCGCAGCGCAATCGACCGCTCACGCAGATCAACCAATCCCGCCCAATATGCATTTAAACAACTGCATTCTTAAGTTCAACTACTATTGTGTATCCCATATTAAAAATGAACATGGACCGTAATCAACACAATTGAAACCATCAAATTATATGACCATTATCATTTAAATTCTACATCATGTATGATAATGTAATGTGTATACATGGTAAATGTTACAAGAATAGAATTATGCATTTATGTTTATCACTTTTTCACATTTCTCCATGATTAGATTATTGTTTTACAATAGTACAAGTGAATGATACATCATGGAGGTAGGACTCAGTTTGAGCCCCTGCAGCTGCAGCATGTAGCCCCTACACCGTGTACACGGTTTTTAAACATAAACAAAATTTTCTCGATCTAGGCTAGAAAAAATAACAATTGTCATACTTCCAAAACACCTACCTCGGTATTGTAACACATTTTGTGTGAATATCTTGAGACGAGATGGCTTTTTCAAGCTCGTCCAGTCCCCCTGTTTTCTTGAGCTTCTTCACCAAGCTTTTGACAGCCTTCTCCGACCAGCGATCTTCCGTATCGTCCTTCTTCCATCCCAGCAACCGCTTGACGATAGGCGGCGTGAACGGGAGGAATTGGCTCATTTTTCTCAACTGAAAATCGGACGATCCGGGAGGGAATTTGCTCTTGCGACTCTAGCCTCTTTAGCCCCGAGGAGATTCTGAGGCTTTGTGATCCAGAGGAAATTGGAAAGGAAATATCTTGACACCTGATTTCACCAGCCGAGAACACTGCAATAACCAAAATACACAATCATCTACCTGTACACTTGCTGTACTTGTATGTATTGAGGTCGACCTATTCACACATTATTATTTAGTGGAACCCATCCGCATCAAAACTATGGCGGCATAAAGTAGTTCGTGTGAGCGGGGGAAAAAACAAAGAAATGACACTTGAAACATTCCATACGCTTACATTTTAGAGAAAGATTCCCATATTTTGATTTTTACCATGAGAGTCTGTTTGAGACGAGCGCCAATTTTGGAGAAATTACAACTTGTTGTGTATCACTCCGCCATTTCAGCTCGGTACTTCGGCACCCTGCCGAAAACCGGAAATATGACCTCAGCGCGGCGCTAGCTACACGATCTTTGGTGTGTACTTTGCTGGGTTTGGGTCCGGGTATTGTAAAACCTTTCAGTTTGGCATCGAATGCCTATCTTTTATCATTATCGTTTAAGAACAGAATTAGATAATCAATTCGTGCGACTAAAGCAACTCTCCACTGTTTATTACCGAATTTTCCATGAGGAAAATGGTACAAAACTACCATGACCATGGAGGAATTAAAAAAACTCCTCCATGCCATGACCACGTAAAACAAAAAGTGCTTATTTTCTTTCCCCTTTTTTGAAGGAGGGGGTGAACAGGGGCGGATCCAGGAATTTTCGCAGGGGGGGGGGTTTCATCAGCAAAAACAATTGAAATGTAGACAGCTTTTTGCTCCGGACACTTGGCCTCCGAAAATCAAAAGGTGAAGGGGGGGTGGCTCGTACCATACTTTCAATGGGGGCGCTGTTCAAATCCGACGATTATTAACACTATTACGGAATAGTGTACAACCAAGCACTCTGTCGTATTTTGTGCACAGGCGGTCATTGTTACCAGTATAATGTTTTGGGTGTCATAGCACGGGGGGGGGGGTCGGACTATTTTTAAGATACTTCTGTGAAAACAAAAAAAAATTGACAGAGCTTTTTTTTTTCTTTGACCCGCCCCCCCCCCCCCCCCCGATCATATCCGGGCCTGGAGGAAGCATTATCATCATCATCCCCATCATAATCATCATCAACAACAACAACAGCAACAATTTCCTTATATTTATCACTAGATTACACTGCCTGGAGGAAAGTACCCACAACTTTCACAGTATATAGGCCAAAACAAAATTTACAAACAACTTTGGAAAGTATTTCTTTCAACAATGATTGTTTTTACATTGCACACTATATTAATTGTGAAGAGCATGTGAATGATTTAAATGATATGTACATTTATGTTTTAACTGCCTCTGGATGTATTCCAAAATCTAACCCTTCTGGTAAAGACACTTCACAGTTGGATAAGGTTGAGCATTTAGGGAAGCAAGTTGATGTGGCATTGGAAGGCAACAACATCATGGTTTTGTTGCAGAAATGCATCGTATCTGTACTCGGAGCTAGTAAAAAGAAGAGTCAGATGGGGTTTTAATATAATGAGAGACTTTCCTTTATCTGCGTGATATGCATGAGCATATTAGGGGACCGTGGACTTAATGTTGCCGGTTGGTGGCGCTAGGCAGAGCGTGCAGTCATGAAATTAATTGGTTCCCGTATCCCCCATAATTATATCCACGCTTATTGCAATTGTAGTAGTACCAGCTGCTCAAGATGGCGACTTCCAGTGTGCAGTAAAAAAGACTGAACAACGTGCGAGTTACAACGTTTCTCAATCATCAATGTTCATCGATCATGTTAGCGAAACTGAAATACTTGAAAGAAGAAGAGAAGGCTTTGAAAGACATAGAAAATATGGTCAAAGAGCAGGTTAATCGGCTACAGGTATTTATTGCGATTAAATAGAAGAAAGTTTGCTAGGTTTTTTTTGTTTGTTTACAAAGTAAGGAAGTCGTACGCGTTGTCTAATGCAGCGTTTGCATACAGCGCCCTCAATGCGGACAGGTTATTGTTCGTACATAGAAAATAATGTTGCAACCTGGCGCCACTTCAGCGGTTGTGTACAAAGTCTATGGAGAGTCAAGAACATTTTCTAAGTAATTCCTAACAATTGGAAATGTTTCTCAATCTCAGTCCCACAGATTCATGTCATCATGGTCATCATCAGTTTTGCAATGACTGACCTTCATAGTTCATTGAAAATGAGATCATATTGAGATGATGAAGACAAAAGTAGCGTCATGTTGCAACATTTTTTCCTGAACATCATCTAATTTTAGTAACTCTACCTCCATGGCTCCACTTAGGGAGCGCTATGCTATTCAAGCCCTCAATCTTTATGTTGCGTATTAGAAATTGTGTGACTAGTTTAAATTATCATGTCATGGGAAGTGGTGACAACGCCCTTAAAAAAAAAAAAAAAATTCCATCAAACAATGTAAAAACAATATAAAAAAGTAAAAACCGTATTTGAAAAGGTTTTAAAATCTGTTAGCCTATCCAGAGGTGTATTTCTAACAAGTAACATGTAGGCCTATCAATTGTCTAAACATGTCGTGTTTATTAAAGGGAATATACATCATTTGCTTTTGCTGTAATTTTCAGAAATGGATGGAATTGGGGGGTTGGAAATATATAGCAAATATAGTTACACTGACTTTTTTGATGTTTTGGGTTCAAAAATGCAATAAAAACCAAGAAAAACAATCATTTTCCTGTAGTCTGGTTCCCTGACTCCATATAAGAAGAAACGGAGCAGTTTACATACATTGGGGAATTGTAAGGTCAGGGAACCAGTCTAGCTGGCTTGTACCCGTTCATAGGTGTGTAATCGATTGCAAACAAGTCCGATGGTCAATTGGGGCCAGTATTTCAAAAAAGCCAGTTTGGAAATTGATACAAAAATACCACTTTTCTTGAAAATGACAGTATACCAGGTGCCATGTTTTTACAGGATGCTTTACACTGTCATTCACTAACAGTCCAGCAAGGTATTTCAAAATGATTTGGTAGTTTTATTTTTTGATGTTTGCAAATGTTGTATTTTCCCTTTAAACTTTATTTTTATCAACACATGTATTTACTATATATATTAACATGAAATAATAATATATTTCTTCATCTGTTCTGTTCTTTTTGGCGGGCAGCAAGAGGAGCTGTATCTGAAAAGCCTCTTGAGAAATACCACTGGGAAGGAGGACCCAGTTCCAGTATCATTAAGCTATGCAAAGGTAATCTGAAGTAATACATGAAGCACCATTTGGAAAGAATGTTGCGTCCTGACGCAACTTTTTTCTATCATATATCAATGAAGATCAGAAATGTTGAAAATGACATGAATCTGGGACTGAGAAACCTTTCCCATGTTGTTTGGAAATACTTTAAAAATGTTCTTGATTCCCATAGACTTTGTACACAACTGCAGAAGTGGCGTCTGGATACATTCTTTCCCACCATTTTAAACACATTTGTTATGATTCATTGTAAACCCAGAGTCTGCTTTTCTGAAAATGTCCTGAAAACCCTGTTGATGAAAACCCCTTGTGACTAAATTTAGAAAATATATAATGCGCTGAGCTGGTTTCTTTTAATTATTTGTTATTTTAAAGTATGTTTCTGGATTTTAAATGCATGAGCAATTTCTGTGTTACTTTGCACAACAGACAGAACTTTTTGATATTGACAAGACTGTGAACGCGGTACCTCTGGATGATCTACAGTCGACTTCACATCAGCAACTTCATCCCAATAATGTTGAAGATGCTGAAGAAGATGATGAAGATGAAGAAGAAATGGACTCTGAAGATTGCCAGGGGAACCAGGAGGAGGATGGAATCAACAAAGATCTCATGGCATTGATGAGACAGATGCAAGGGGAAGACTCGTACGAAGAGGATTTTGGAGATGAAATTTGAAGCCAGGAGGTTGATAGAAATAAGTATCAAACAGTTGCAAGGAGCAGACTGGATGTCAAAGATGACTTTCTCGTGTTGCCGTGGAACTTTGGCAAATGGGGGAGGATAGGCGAGCTATACGAGGTGTTGCCAGAAGAGGACGAGGGATAGGGGAGGAAATAATGAAAACGATACATGTAAAATGTCATCGCATGCAGTAGACGCAAGGATCAGATGTACAGTGTCTACTAGAGTGAGTTTTGGATTCAGAATAAGGCCAGAGAGAGGAAAATGGCAGAGGAGGATAAGATTGCATTGCGAGAACCATCTGATAGAAATCTAAGATGAGATTAGAATGAAGAACAAGTTGAGAAGTCCCAAGTATTTCGAAAGGACTTCCTGTGAAGATATCGAAAAGTAGTGTGATCGCAGACTTGTGCACGGAGATGTTGCCATAGAAACCACATGTTGCCAAGACACTAATGGAGGGGGGGGGTAAGATGAAATAACTTTGTCACTCCGGTGTTGGGATCAGACGCATGCCAAGTTTCAGAAATGCTGCTATAGAGCTTTGAGAAGATGCAGAAATCAAGCCATCGGAATTTACAGGGCTTCAATAAGATTTTAACAAAGATGAGTTTTGATGTTACGGGGATGATGCGAGGACATGTATTTTTGATTGATGTCGGATCGTTTTTGTTTACGCCACCAAAGAACTAGAAGTTGGAATTGTGTTAATGGTGTAACAAAAAATAAACGTTGACAAATAAACGTTATGGCATAATCTGAGAAAAGTTGGCATTCCCGTGTTTGCTATTGTGCTTTGCTTTACTGTTATGATCCAAAGAAATTTAGTCACAACATTAAGGAAGTACAGAAACTACAAATGGAATTTTAGTGCTCTCAATTTTGGTTTATTAGATTTATATCGCTCTATTCACGTGTACAAAGCTGTAATGATGGCCACTTTGTACAAAAATGCTCCATGTGCCAAACTTTTGTTACAATAATCTCTTGACTCAGTAAAATTATCTTTCCAACTTGCAGTAAACTTCTAACCACATTTATATAATATGATGGTAATGATCTGTACCTCTCTAAAAATCGTTCTCTCACAGCTGATGACATTACGCTAGGAACCTTTTCAGAAATCTTAAATTCAAACACTGGCCAGCCAGTCCAGCCAGTCCCCAACAGTACATTTGTAACACGTACCTTCATAAACCAATGGTGTCGATATCAAGCCAACACACAGGGTTGGACTTTGGGGAAATCTGGGGTTGTTTTCCCCAACGGTTTAATGACTCATGACTGGTGGTCTTTTCGCCTAACAACGTTTAAAGGGCCCATGCAATGTAATTTTGTTTAATGCAATCCTTGCAAATGCACCTTTGTGTCCCATTTAACCCGACTTTCAATTTTCTTTTTGCCATTTTCAAAGGTATTTTGGTGCCTTTTTGGTTTTTATGCTAATGCAAATTTCCATATTCATGAGCAAAAGTGTGATGTCATACCAGGCAGAAACCTCAATGTTGCAGTTGTTTCAGCACCGCAAGTTGCATGTTGGAGATTTGCTGTTGTAAATGTTCTTTTCTTTGGTGATTCGTCGTTCTGTCGGTACATGGCAGTAAGCCAAAGAGCAAACTTTTCTCTTTTGTCTTCAACGAGCAAGTTTTTGGGTCCACAATTTGAACACAAAATCCCTAAGCTGAACAGTGTCTTCCTGAAATGACATCACAGCAACACTGCCCTCAGTTGTCCAGAAAAAGCATGGAAAATGTTGAATGTTTAAAGAAGTACACTTTTCAATAAAAGTAACCAAAAAATGGATGTCAAATAGTTTTCATGCATTTAACAGGGGGAGAAAGTAGCACAGAATATGTTCCTAAGAAAAATTCACTGCATGGCCCTTTAAACAGGTCTGATTAATTTCAAAGAACTACTTTAGAGCATTAACACAAGTGACTTAATACTGGTATACATGACTAATACAAATGTGTCTTAATAAGAAGCATGTGGTCAACATAACCGTTTAAAATAAAAATAAAAAGTATTCTGTAATTACAAACAAAACTCTTGTGAGCAACTCATTCTAATAGCCTAATCACTGATCATGACAAAACTGTTTAAGAGAGGACAACCAAAAGAACATTGTAGATAGTTGGAACAAAAGGTACAGGCAAATTAACCGAATGATAAAGGTTATGATATGAATAACATGAAAATAGTTTTCAATACCATATAAGATCCGCCAAACCCCTGACAACACAAGATGTCTCAATTTACTTGTCAAGCTTGGGGAGTGAGTATTTACATACTTTGCACTGCTTGTAAACGTCAGTAAATTCCTATAAAATGAAATCAATTTTCCACTTGGAATAATCTTGAACATCATTTCATTTCATCACTATTGTGGTTTGCATGCTGTCGAGGTCAAGTTGTCAACTGATAATTTGGCAGTGCATGTAATTGACAATCGGTGTGAAAAAAAGGTTTGATAGCTGATATTTTGCAACTCTGCAGAGGTGGAAGGGTTCTTTTTAAAAGCTGAATTTCACTACTGAAAAAAAGAAAACTTCTGTTGGTTCTAAAGCAAGAAATCATATGGCCCAACAGCCTAGTTGATGAATCCCAGGTCACCAAAAGGTTTGAAGTCATTTTTGGCAATGAATTCAAGATCAAGTTTTCTTGTCTTACTGAAGCAGAAATATTGAGAACCTATAGCACGTCAAATTAAACAGGACACACAAAAACATTAACCCAAATATCTGTACAGTTACTCTACACTTTTTTTTAGTCCACGCCCCCTCATAAAAAAAACCCAAAGAAACACAAGCAGGCTCTTTCCTGTTCCGTTTCCTTGAGCCAAAGAAAGTTTTGATGATGAGATTGCCCCTTTAAGCAATATTTAAACCCAACTCCCAAGGTGTTATTGTTAGAAACCGTCCCGAATCCTCCACTGTGCAGTAAACCCATGGCACATTATTTGTACTTGAAACTTCGAAGGTGCATCGATCCACATGTAAATTAATAGTGGCTAGGCTCTACCTTCCTAAATCCTTCAAAATCCTCCAAAACCTCTGGAGAATTGTGAAGGATCTGGTAGGGCTTGGGTTAATGTTAATTATGCATGCATAAAACTATGGAAGTGTGAAATAATTCCGATCTCTAGCCAGTTACGGTTTCCTGAATGTCATCCATGTTGAACCAACCACACGAATTGGACCATGGTAGAGAGGGTCAGTTTAGTCCGCTGCGGCAGTGTTCTTGCCGTCAGCAGCCACAATTTTGATTTTCTTCACGGTGATCGAGTCGCCATTGCGGAACTCGACGTCATTCAGCACAAAGGTCCAGACGTTGTCGCAGAAACGATATGTGTTCAGGTGACCCTGTAAACAATACAAACAAAATCAGATACATGTCGTCCTAGTGGTGTCGGGTTGTAACAGGCATGAGTTACGTTATCCATATCGCCTCATTACCTCTCACAGAACTTTTTTTAAGATTCAAGTTCCTGGGCTTGCAGAGAAAAGAATCTTTAAGAAACTTGTCAGAAAGGTGTATCAAGTTTTGCAACTTGCTTTAACATTTTGGTCAAAATTCAACCAAAACATAAACCCGGGTGCAAATTTTCCAATTTCACATCATTTTTTTCTGTTTAAAAAGGTTTATCATATAAAATTTGATGGATGAACTAATTACATGTAATCCAATTATGGAATAGTTTAAGCTGCATTGGTTGAACCTGATTATCTTTTCTTAAAAAAAAAAAAAGTCAAGTCACTAGGTTTAAAGGGAATATACATCATTTGCTTTCGCTGTAATTTTCAGAAATGGATGGAATTGGGGGGTTGGAAATATATAGCAAATATAGTTACACTGACTTTTTTGAGGTTTTGGGTTCGAAAATGCTATAAAAACCAAGAAAAGCAATCATTTTCCTGTAGTCTGGTTCCCTGACTCCATATAAGAAGAAACAGAGCAGTTTACATACATTGGGGAATCGTAAGATCAGGGAACCAGTCTAGCTGGCTTGTACCCGTTCATAGGTGTGTAATCGATAGCAAACAAGTGCGATGGTCAATTGGGGCCAGTATTTGAAAAAAAGCCAGTTTTTTCCAACACTGATCGGCCGATCAGCGTTGGAAATTGATACAAAAATACCACTTTTCTTGAAAATGACAGTATACCAGGTGCCATGATTTTACAGGATGCTTTACACTGTCATTCACTAACAGTCCAGCAAGGTATTTCAAAATGATTTGGTAGTTTTATTTTTTGATGTTTGCAAATGTTGTATGTTCCCTTTAAACACAAAGTACTTCCTTTCAGGAAAAAATCTACCTAAACAAAACAAATGTTATGCCAAGAGAGCCCACCTTGAATGAGAATTTGTTCCGTAATCTGTTGGACAATGCTTCATTAATGGCACGATCAAACTTGAGAAGCACATTCAGGGCAAGTTGAGGTGAAATCTGTTGTGACTGTTGCAAGAAAAAAACAATGCAATGCAATTTTAATAGACTTACATGTAGTTTCATAATTTGCATTAGGCCAAAAGAATATATAGCTCTGCTTCATTACATGGCATTTGAAAATAGGGTAGGTAGCTAGGGAATAATTTTTTGGCAATTTTTTTTTTTGTACAATCATATGGAGGTGTCTGCGTATAGTATGGGTAAAAGGTAGTAATTAATGGTTTTTAGGGTTTTTCCCTCATTCCCCCCCCCCCCCCCCCCCCCGAAAAAAATTAGGGTAGGGGCTGTAAAAATAGGGTAGTTAGGGTAATCGGAAGCAGAACTATTAGCTTTTTTGGCCTTACTAATGTTTCAACTGTTTCCCTGGGTGAAAATATTGGAAACATGAATTTATGACAAGGCTACCACTTGCCATCTGGTGCCGCACTTACATAATCATGGTAACTTTGTATTCAGGAGATGGGAAACAGACCAACTTTAAGCTTCATAAAAAGGGCCTAAAATCTGAAACTAAGCAAATTCACTGGGAAATGAACTAACAGTTGTAAGGCCAAAACGTGTAGATCACATTAACGGCCCTTGCAATGCTATCCTTGAAAATGCACCGTCCGTGGCTTTGTGTCCCATTTTATTTTTAACCTAATTTTCACTTTTTAATTTTGCCAAATTCAAGGGTATTTTGGTGTCTTTTTGGTTTTATGCTAATACAAATTTCAATATTAATGAGCAAAAACTCCATATTCATCAGCAAACGGCACGACAATCGGTCGGGCGCTAGCTGGCCACCGGCAGCGCCAGCTAGCTAACCATGGCATGCTAACCAAAGGCAATGACAATGTCGTTATGAGAATATGACATGGTTATTTTCAGCCACAAAATTAACTTTAAATTCCCTATGCGTGAAACTGATTTCAAAATGAGATGGTACTTGAAAGTAAAGACATTGTTCCTACCTGAATAAGTTCTTCTACACTTTCCTGCAGACTGTGTCCCAGGGAGGTTTTACGGTAGAATTGGTAACTCATTGTGAAGAAATTTCCGCCGCGGTCGCGGACTTTTATAGAAAAATCATCGCAATGCATGGAGAGCGCCCTCATAAGCGCTTACGTTTCAAGTAAAAAGAGGGCGCTATAACATAAACTTGGATTTTGGATTAAAACGTTTCCGAGTCCAGCACATTACGCGTGGCCTAGTTTTTTTTTACTAGTTTAGCTGTTCGTTTTTGTCAAAACGTTCAATTTAATATGGGGATTTTACGAGTAAGATCTCGAGGAATCAAAAATCTTGATTTACTACCCCTTAACATCAGTGCATGTAGGCCCACTCAGATCAGTGGCGTAGCCAGGATATTGTCACCGGGGGTGGGGGAGGCAGGGGGATTAGAATCGAATAAAATAATCAACTTTATTCCTCTTCTGTTTACGTTTCATAAGTCTTTTATTCCTCTTCTGTTTACGTTTCATAAGTCAATAAAAGATCATTTAAAAAGATACTTCCTTGGTAAGCGGCAAATTTCAGGGTTTTTTTGTGGGGGGACCTTGGGGACGCTGGGAGTCTCCCCCCCCCCCCCCCCCAGGCCCCCCCTTGGCTACACCACTGGGCCCACTATTTGTTCCCGTCAAGTAAAAAACCCCACCAGAGATGCTAGATATCACTGCCAAAAATTTTGACTTCGTTGACTGTGCATTATTCGAATTTCCCCTGCAGTTTTTTCCCAGTTTTCCTCCTGGGGCTCCTACCCAATGCTATCCTATTGCTAAAATTCTCAACCTGTGGGTTACTTTGTGGTTACAGGGAAGACTTTCAGAAAGGTTTTTGAAAAGGTTTTAAGCCCCTGCTGCTTCTTAATCATTCAACATCAAACAAAAAGTTTTCGTACTCAGTAACCCACACGAACCCCTGCTCCCGTTGACTCAATGCACAATGCAATGAACGCATGCAAAACATATAGTGCGCCCTCTATTGATGAATGAAAGAACTATTGATAATAATTTAATTTACTCACTGGAAAAAAACTCTCTTTCCCTGAAGTAATTTAATATAAAAGAAAAGAGTCTTTTCCACTAAGGGTTTTCAGATTTTCAACTTAAGTTTAATTTTTAACTTTTTTCTTCGCCTGCTTAATGACTCTCTGTAAACATCAGGGCTAATAATGTGTTCTCTCTTTGAATCTTTTTTTTTTTTGGATACAATAAACGTAGAATTGCAAAATATAACCCAGGGCTTATGCACATTGTTTTCAAAATGGCATGTCCAGGGGAAAAAAGGAAATCATGTAGGCCTATTTGCAACAGAAACAAAAATCCCCTTAATATGGAGACCGACTTGAATGACGTACAGTATGGCTTTTAAACCGAAAGCTTCGATACGGTCGTTGAGTTCCAAGAAACATGTATTACATACACGTTCGATAAAAAAAATTAAAAACAAAAAAAATGCTCCTCAGATTTAACTAAATAGACGGGTTCATTAGGAGTGCATCATTACCATTCTCGTTCCGCAGCGAAAATTACCGACGACGCCTGGATGGCGCCATCAGTGAGTTATTACAACTATTTAATCGGAAACGACCGCTAGAGGGCGGGCTTTCCCTTCCCGTGAAAATAAAACGGTTTGGGGATCGTCTAAACAAAGCCGGTTTCGGTATCACGGGGCCAAAAGAACCCAAATTTGGAAGTGTTCGTGCATTTGGTCCATGCTTTCAGACTTTTAAAAGAAGGGGTGAAGTGTGCAGATTATCTTGTAGGACTTGTTTCTATAGTCACATGCCACATTTGCTCAAAACGTGTTGGCAGATGATTACATGCGATCATGGAGCTAGCTATAATTTGCGTTAACTTACTTTTTATGCTTCGATCCATGATTTAAACAAAAACAGCGATTTCCTTTAGTTTCAGAACCCCAAAATGCCTTCAATTCGACTGATGTGGATCAGTCCAAATTTATTATAGCAACACCGGAATAGAACGCGTAGTAGCTACCGATATCCGACTAGCCACAAAACTTCCTTACACCGTAGGTCTGTTCTTATCTTCATACTTGAAAGTTCTGCAATAAAACTCCTTTTTGCCAAGATTTCGCCTGTCTCGTAAGGGTTAAACTCCCTTCCGATCGGTACGCAGGCGAGGCGCCAGTTCTTCGCGCGTTCTACGCAGCGATTCAATCTGCTATGGTCTCGAAGGTGACAATTAGTGAGATTGTCCTCGTCATTAAGTGGGAAAATCCTTTTAGCCGATAATCCCAGCCAGCCGCCCCCCCCCCTTCATTTCATAGCCGATCGTTGTAGCCTTCACGCTCCGTTAGAAAATCGAACCAGAGAAAGCGGCTTCGATTTTTGATAACATACCTGTGGCTTCATTACTTGTTATTAGGCAAAACTTTCAACAAACTTGTTTTGCCTCAGAAGCTGGTCTTGTTAAGACCACAACATCGGGCCAACTAACTTTGTTGAAAACTTTAGACTGATTGATAAAAAAAGAGTGATTAAACCATGGAGGAATAAATCCTCCATAATTGAACCGAGTATGATACGTTTTTTCTTAATCAAACTTGTTCTAAGGATAAGATTTTGATTGAACAGAGTAGGATCGATTTGAACACTTGTCAAAATATTTTTGTTCATAACTTATGATTAGCTGCGTTGTACAGGTAAACTAGTTTTCACACACTAACTCATAATTAAGGTGAACAAAATCGCAATGTCGGAAAGTGCCTAGCACAAAGAAGACTTGAACTTTTATCTGGAGATTTTATTTAGTAGAAAAACGGCTGCTAAAAAGTGTCAAAATGGGTTTCGCAGTTACAAACTTATGAGCAACTCTACCGAGGAGGTATTAACGCCTAATCCTGTGTACCTACTTTTGTCTATACCGCCATTCAGAAAATCTTTTGACACCGTCAGGCGCCGAGAAGATCCACGGGACAATGGACCCACGGATTTGGGTCAGTGTTCCGCTAGTGACTCGGGAAAAAAGGTGACATGGGCTTTAACAAAAGGGGCTGGGATGAATGGTGCAGGCTGCGCCACGCTGGCGCATCCTGCCTGTCTGATGGGCCGGGTTCTGGGCCGTCAGTACCTCCGGGCGACACCCCTTTGAAAAATCACCACTTCTCTGTCGCCCGTGTGCATGAGCGACCGCCGCCAAGAATGTATACAACCTACTGTCACAAAAAACCCTGCCATTGTCCTGATATGGTGGAGTTTCCGAGTACTTCCACGTCAAAAAAAGGCTGATTCACGTGCCATTGGTTTTGCAATATGAATGACAACCGGCGATTCGCTATACAACACCGCACTGGAGTTTATTCATAGTCAGTCTAAACTGTAAAAAAAAAAAAAATCGAAATTTATAAATAAGTTAATAAAATGAGATAACTTTGTTCCCCGAAAAAATGGCACGTGCGTAGACGGTATCAACGAAGTGAAACGCTGTAAATTTCGTCGGAGCGGAACTGGAGCTGAGTCGCTGGTGGATGGTGAGTTTTGAAAGTTGTCATCATTCTCAACAGCTATACTTCCTCCCTCTGTTGTAGTCGCGACAAAATGCATCCGCGTCACGCGCCCGTTGTACATGCACCTGTAAGTATGGAGTAGTAAAACTTGCAAGTTGTAACATATCTCGTAACTTGATCTTGAAATATATTTTTCTGAATCATTTCCTATGCTGAAATGTTGTCAAACCATTAATACAGCAAAATTGTACACGACCCTAAACTCATTAAGCCGATTATTGTAAATTTTAATCATAAAAAGTGCGTCATTCTGTGGGAAGGAAATAATGCAGTAATACACACAATTATCAAGCAGAACATTATTAAAAAACATTTTCAAATGCGCTGCTTAACTTTTGATCAGACTTTTGCATATTAGCGTCTGTGTTTTTATCAGTCTTTACTGGGCCGTGCAGACGATTTCGAGGTAATTTCAAGTAGGCCTGCCGCGCCCCAGGAGATGAAAAAAAAGTTTCTCTTGTGAATATTTTTCCCCTTCTGTTAACCCGGTCCTTCGGCCTCAAGACGAACAACAGGAGACCGAGATCTCTTCTCGCAAGGGGGACAGCGACGAATTGGTCATATTAATATCATAGTAATACGTAAATTAGCCCCCTAAAAATGCACGGGCGAGTCGGAGTCCCGGAAACACCTCTGTTTTGCCCGTGGGGCCCAAGTGCGTCTGTTAGCCTTAACTAGCGGTGCCTTCGTGAGGCGCCTGCATGTATGCGGGTTTTTTTAAAGGGGCGATGCCGTTGACCAATTTTACGACACCTTTAATGACACCATGTGTCTTTTGATAGTTATCATGAAGCAGGATGGAATATTCGTTAAGGCCATTATTTAAAGGAATAGTTAAGTTTCGTCATTTCGGATTTTTGAAGGACATTTTTTTTAATTTTTTTTGTTCAGGAAAACAAATTGACAAAAATTTAAAAAAAAAAACAATAAAAATTGAATAAAAGTTGAATAAAATCAACCATAACATTATAGGCAGCAATCGTTGGGCCGCGCTTGGCATTTATATTTCATGTTTTATAGCTGTGGTTCTATGCAAATAGACAATTTGTATTTCTTTTAGCAAATGTATTTAAACTACTAATTATGAAATAAACCCAAATTCAATTATGAAATATAAAAACAGCCTGAACAGTTGACATGTTTCCCCACCCCCAACCCACATGATTCTAGCTCCGCCCATGCAGCTCAGATAATGTGTTCAATATTAAAGATTTGCAGGGCCCCGATGGAAACCAGTTTTAAACTGTTTGGGTATACCTGGGTATAAAGAAATGTAATAAAATAAATAAAAGTTAAGTGACATTAAACAGCCGTCAAGTTGGAAATATTATCCTAAAAAAAAAAATTAAAAAAAGATTGGTAGGTAAAATAACTTTTATTCACATGCAACAAGTCGTATGTGGATGATTTACATTATCCCAAAAGTAACCTCCGGAATTATTATCAAAAAGCTTACTCGGGATTAAAAATCATCGGCCCACTGGTACTAAAAACTCCGTGAAATTATTCCGTCTGGTTTGCTGCCATTTAAAAGAAATCAAGAAATGTAGGTGTAGGTGATCTCCAATCATTTGACTGATTATTGGATATAATAAAGAGTGCTTTTGACGAAATCGTGTTTCGTCATCAAAACGTTGTGCATGGTTTTTCACCTGTTTTTTTTTTATATCAAAGAGTGTCGTATGAGCTGAAACTTCTCTTCAACGGGTTAGCTTTGGAACATACATCTTTAGATTTTGAGTGGTGTAAGTATTGGAAACATGAAAAGCAAATGATCCTATATGCCTTTAAGATGACTTCTTAATTGCATAATGCATACTCGGGAAAGAGTTGGATCCAAGGGGCCTGCTGGTCCTTTGGAGGGGAGGAATTTCTGAATGTAAGTGCAAGTTAAAGGACTGTAACAGATTTTTGAAAAATAATGTCATCATGAACATTGTGCATTTTAGTCAAAATCTCTGTGACTAAACTTCGGATCTCCTGAATCCTAGAAAATCGAATCGTTTCAATTAGTGATTAGTGATTACCAGTCACTTTACTGCGAACAAAGGGTCATTGCCCCCTTTTGTCGGTATTTGCAGTTAATGCCCATTTTTGCAAAATCGACCTTGTCAGTTTTATTAATTTCGCCGCAGTGGTGCGGGCATGCAGTGTCACTCTTATTCTGCATGATATGAGACGATCCCTGTACGTACCCGGAGGGAGTAGCCGCGATCACTGGCACAGCGCCATGTTATTTGCTCAACAATCATTTCAGACTCGAGCCGCGCCAAAATGTCTAGACGTCCCGTGACTCAAACTGACCAATCAGCGCGCGCGTAGCTGTGAGCTCATAATATAATATTCAGTGTAGTAAGAAAAAAATTCTCGTGTGTTGATTTTTTTTCAGATGTACGGAGTACGTGGTTAGGCTCACATGTGCTTGTGTTGTTATCGTGCTGAGTGTTATGATTCTTGATCTTTTTTACCTCTGCGTGGATGTTGTAAGTTGGAGATCGTGACCGTGGACGATCGAGGAAAGCTATATGCATGTACCAGCGGGATTTTTCCTCAGGTTGGCGGTGCGGAAGTGTACGTAATCGGTTTGTGGATGCGAGCCGGTGTGCTGGCGTCACAGTGCCGCGGAGTTCGGGCCAACGCACTGATTGTAGTCCGTACCGTGTACCGTGTGACAACGAGATCTGACCGCGAGGTTGAACCATCACATAAGGCCTGGCTGTACGTGCTGGGTGAGCATTCATTACTGAGATAACGAATGGTCTGTGGAAAGAGATACTGTGCAAAGCCTATCACACAACCGAGAAGGGTTGGTGATTTGATACCAGCCCATTGCTGCGTGCATCAAATGCCGAGACGGGAGTGGATTTAACTGGTCTTTTCGGAGGTTCCAGCGCATGGAATGTTCAACGAGAGTCACCGTGGGCTATGACCGTGTGCCGCAATCCTATGTCGCATGTTCAAGTCCAAGCGCACGGTACTTATCCGGCGACTCTGGAGGAGCCGTTGTGGTGGGTGCTCCACCGTCGGCGAACAAGGTCCCGATAGCAGTCAGGCCATCGCGGACTCGGACTCGGACTCCGAGTTCAAATCGGCCGCCCACAGCCTCCTGAAACGAATCAAGGACCGTCAACTTGAGCTGTTGCTCGATGCCGTGGAAAGCCGTGGAACCACCGCCACTGCCTGTGTCCCCCTACCCAAGGGGGAACTCCGCCTGGGTAGGGGACGGACTACGCTGCCCCACGTGTTGTGCTGTCAGCTCTACCGCTGGCCTGATCTCAAACATGCTGCCGAACTCAAGAGACTCAATTTCTGCTGCCAGTCCGGACGCGATCTGGAGGAACTTAGCTCAGGAAATGTATGCTGCAACCCGTATCATTTCAGCCGTTTGTGTCAGCCAGGTAAGGCAAAAAAGGAACTTGAGAAAATTCCTGTCAATTTAAGAGAAAAAAGTAAATGATTTACATTTTACTTACGGCAAAAGCCGGCCAAAGAGAAGTTGCCACGCGCACTTGCAAATCGTCCAACAACTGAAACCGATCCGCAAATGAAAACCTGATCAATTTTCTGTTCGCTTCTGTTTGCTAATTTAATTAGTCTGATGCTTTAACATGTTTAATTACATTCACAATCATGACAAAACTCTCTACTTTATGGAAACGTCTTATGCTTCAAAATATTCATGCTTCATCTTATAATTATATTTTTGTGCTTACAGTTTCTCTTCAAGGTTAAGCCAATTTTTTTGGACGTTTCACGAACGATCTCACGGCGATGCCGAACGGCGTCAGTCAAGTTTCAAAACAGTTTATTACTTGCTGCGAATCGATTGGAATATGTGATCATTATGTATTCTATTCCTAGAATTTCCCCCTCCCTTGTATGATATCAGCAAACATAAATATGCGAGTGATTTTAATAGTGTGTTTATCTACAGTGCTCTGCTTCCAGAGGGTCTTTGCAGCGCGCCATAGTGGCCCCGCCTGGGTGGCTATGCCCGCATGGCCCCGCTATTCTCTATTGAGTCACGCATTCGATTTACTAACATGGCGCCGCGGTTATTTATGTGGCCGATCAAGCCGGAGTCTTTTCGCCTCGATTAACAAACGCTGGCAGGCCTGGCTTGCCCATTCGTGCACAGCGGGGATGCTGCAGCATTCTTTCCCCTTCAGCTTTTCCATAATGCTGACCTCCACATGCACACATAATACACACACAGGCACACTGATAATATAAAATTCTCTTTTTGTGGCCCTTTCTTTTGAATCTAACTCTCTCCTGTTTTTGTTGTACTGTAGATTCGCCGCCGCCTCCATACAGTAGATTTCCGATCGAGAGGGCCAAAACGGAAGGTTGGTTGTTGCTTTGAAATTGACCCATGAGGCATTCACCAAAATGGTCACATAAAATTAATAATTTTTTAATTTATTGAAAAAAAAGTTGGCAGCAAGATAATTAAATGCCCACTGAGTACATTATGTAGTGCCTTTTATGAGGTACATGCAAATCAATATAAATTAGAATTATTTTTTAAATTGAATTAATTGTTTAAGTCCATGTCTCTTTTTTGCTCCTAGAATCCATATTAATTGGGATTTAAAAATATTATGATTGAGCGCTCAATCAGGCCATCCGATCTTCTTTTATTTCATTAAAAAGTCATGCCAATTTTTTTTTTTTTTTTTTTTTTTTGCAGTTAAGTTTATTGGTAGAATTATTTTAACCCCACCCACCGGAATAAAAGAGTAGCTACCCCTCGTTGGGCCTCCTACCATTTCTGCCACTTCTCATTACTCATTCTCAAAAGTTATGCAAAGCCTTCTCCCCATGCATTCCAGTGCTCTGGCCTGGCGACAAACAGCGAGCCCCATAATTGAACAGTGGTGTGCGGTAATTACCGCCTCCATTTACACAAGACAATAACAGATGGTTTCTATTTTCTCCATTTTTCTTCCGCTGCCTCTGCACCTTCTACACACAACCAGCCTCCAGCATTAGCGAGGGGCGTTTCACGCAGGCCTCCGTATCCACCACTGGCTCCACCGTGGATTTTGGCGAAAGCACCGAAACGGGAAATACGCCAAGTCAAAGGCATCAACCCTACGCAGATGCAGGTTCGTTAAACATACCCAATTTTAAATTAAAAAAATCCTCTACGTTCCCTTCCTCTTTCCTCACTTTTTCCCTCTGTCCGGTTTTCCTTGCATCTGTCAACCATGGGTTTAGAAGGACTGGTCCCACTTTCTGAAATCTCTGGAAAAGACAAATAATTGGTTTTCATCATAAAAAAAAGATGATGAAAAACTTCATTACATTATATGCACACTGCCACAGATACAGAATTGAGGAATTTAATAATTGATACTTTGGACATGCCAATGAAAAACCGTTGTCCTAGCCAATACAAATCAGAAGTACCATGGTCGTTTGACATAACAGTCCCAATCCCATATTCTCAAAATCGTTTTAAATAGTAGTTTCCTCCAGTGGAAATGTTGTAATGAGCTTATGGTTGATTGTCTATAAAATGTATTACTTTGTAATCTTTTTAGGAAGTGATGTAATACATTTTAATACATTTTAATACATTTTAATACAATGTAATCTTTTACATTGTACTTTGTAATAATAACGTGGGAAATAACTGCATCTGGCTGGGTACATTTAAAGTCTTGCACTTTATTTACTGTTTGTTATATTTATGAAGGCTAATGTGTAGACTGCTTGAGTCATGTCTAATGTGCATGTTAATTAATGTTAAAATCAATTGTTGTACATGACTGCAACGCTTACATAGGTATTACTAAGTTTACATAATAAACAAACTCGCATTGTCTTTTCCTGTTTGTAAAGGACATTGAGAATCTTTAAAAAAAAATCTGCATTGGTTTGCAGGAATTACATTTTGAAGTCCTATTGGACAGATTTAACTGAATATTTTCATGAGTAGAGTGGTTAAATCAATGCATTACTTTGGTCTTTAAGAAAAGAGATCAACACATTTTTGTAAGGGATTTTTCCGAAAAATTTTGCCAACTTAAAAGAAAAATATTAACTTCTGTAACAAGTAAGACTGTCAGACAGACATACCCAAAAGTTTGGATGGAAATGATCAAAATGGCCGTTTGGTGATTTTGTCCTTGGACTGACTGAACTCATAAAATGTTGTTCAGGAGAACTCCTGCACACAACGCTTACTGTAAATACTGCGTTTAAACTATTTCACAAGTGCCAGTAAATCCCATTGATTTGACTTAGTTTTTTATTATTTGGTTCATTGTTATTATAAACTCCCTTATCTTTATGTTCCATTAGGGGCAAGTGAGTAAATAAGGAACTTACCAGAGGCTGTTTATTGTCAGAAAAGGATATATTCAAATGTGTGTGTGATGGGGTGGGTCAGGGGTTGACATGTGGACATATCAAAGTGTACCTAAATCATTAATGAGCTAAATCTGTAATCCTGTGCCCTTAATCCCCTGGGCCTTAATCTGTATTAGAATAAGGCACATGTCTCCATTCTCTTGTGTCAGGTCTGGATTAAAGTGTGGAGCCGGTACTGCCCGGTAGTATTTGTATGTTATCTTCATGGCGTTTGTCGGTATTTAGCTGGCGCCACTGCTAAATATGAAATAGATCCATATTGCTGTGTCATACTTCAGTCAGCGTTCGTCCAGATCTTTGGGTTAAGATTTACTTTTTAAATTTTATTGTCAAAAATGCCTTTCACCAGTTACATTTAAAAGACATCACTCCGGTACAAAACTACAGAGGCCCGAATGAAAAAAAAAAAAACTGTCGCATTTTACTGAATTTAATTATTAGCACTGGAGTTTATATTGATTTCTTCGTCTTTTTACTTCTCATGAATGCCATTACAAATTATGAAACACTGTACAAAGTCTTGTGTGGTTTGGAGTTTCCTCGTTTTTTTTCCTTCTAAATTCCCAGTTGCATGCCTGATATTCCCATGCCACTTAATGTCTGTGAAATATCGTCACATATAAACTATAAAGGCGTTTAAACTATAACGGCGTTTATACATTCCCATAGCATTCCCGCCCCCTCACACCATTATGCCGCCAGCTCATTAACAGCCTACGTTCCCCAGAGGCAGTTACCTCCTGGCAATGTATCCCTCATCATCCCCCCCTCGGGAGTATCCAACCTCACCCCACGAAGCTGCTTAGGGGATGATTAGAATTGTAGATTTGCCCCAACACAGGATACTTGTGCTCGTTGCTGTCTGCCCTGAATTCAATTTGTTTTGTTTTTTAGGTTTTTTTTTTTCATAGTTAATCAGAATCTAGATGTGTTGTACATGACATGAATTGTTTCTTTTTGCTGTGGAACAAGGCCGTGAATGTGTGTTTTTTGCTTTGTTTCTTATTTTAAAAGTCTTTCATGGTCTTAAAAATTACTTAAGTTAAGTTAGGGATTCTTTTGTGCGTGATGTAGCCTCACGCATTCACTGTTTGGTGAACTATGTAGGTTTTGCTGTCAGAAAGTAACAAGGCATGTATTAAATACATTCTAGTTATCTGAGTTACGTCAAAATTGTTGACCAAGTTTGAATAGTTTGGATTTTACAAACTGGCTAAAATTCTGTGAAATAGAGTGTTTCTCTGGAAACCATGTGAGAAATCTCCTGGACTGGAATGTTGACTGGCAGAAATTTGGTATTCAAGATAGACATCCCTCTGTGAGATATGACAAATTATTTCCTGGGCATCTGTTCTGTCCTTTCATTGCCAATGTACATGCATGATTCTTGGAAAACTTGGTGAGAAGGGCACTAAATCCCATCCCCCCCCCCCCCCCCTTCTCTCTCAACTGACCCACAGCCACTGACCAAAAGAGCCCGGGGAATTAGCATAGGGCAGCAATCGTCCATAAAACCTTTGCGCAAACCACTGAGCATGTATAACCCCGGCCTCACATGGCTCCAGAGTTCTCTGGCCAGCCAGCTCACTCTCCAGCCACACTGGCACCAGCTAGGCTGGCTAGGCCAGGCCAGTTGTAAGCTTTTGGCTGGGGGAGAATGTGGCCGTTGCAGCGAGGGGTCTCACTCCCCCTGGTAATTACTGAATTACCAAAAGGCTTTTTTGGAATCCTGTTGGGCGGCATGCCAATTAAAATATCTCTGAATCTGGTGGATTGCTTGGTGGTCCCTGTTTGCATGTCGAGTTCATCTGGGCTGTTCATGTGCTGTGTCCCGGCTCAAAAAAAAGATGTGGGGTTGAGTCTCATTGTAATGGAGAAGACATTAACTGCTTCACTTTGTGGCATTTCATGGTTTTAAAATTCATCTCGGCAGACTTGCTTAAATGCTCAGCTACACAGTTCAGTGGTCTTTGTAATAATCCAGCCTCTCAAGAACCATTTAGTTGCCAAATTGCCTCTGTGGCTCATAAAATGTTGAGCAACCATAGAGCAAATCCCCGTATCATTTTAGCAGACATTTAAGTAGTGGATTTGTTCATTCCGGGTTCTATTTTTTTGTGGCGTGCAAATCCTCTATGACTTTTCGCTGTGTTATGCCTCATTAATTCCTGCCTGTCCTGCATGCTTTGGGTCATTAACTGGCTCTACACATCTTTTTCCAATCATAGTTAATAGCTCTGGCTCGCTCTGTTCCTTTTCTTCCCCGCCCATCAAGTCACAGTGGTTCCGTCCATCTTCACAAGCCTGGTATATTATCAATAAGGTAGCACCAGTTTTTTTTTTCTTCCCCTAACAATCCTGAAAAGCGCCAGGAATTTGCCCATGCGTAACAAGGCCTGTACAATTTTGACACAAGTTTGTGGTGAAAAAAAAAAAAAACTGTAAAAGAGACCCCAGCTCCCAGAGAACAGAACCTGTTACAAAAAGTGCAACTATTGTTGAGGATTGATTGGGAGGCATTGGTGCGGAACAAGCAGAGGGCAGATTAGCTGTAATGGCATTCTGGTCCTTTGGAAACACCCATCCAATAGAGAGAAAAAAAGCGGAAAGTAAAGCAGCCTATCTTTTGTTGTCGTAAGGTATTTTGGAATGTTTTGTGGGCCTACATGTTAGCGAGCTAGCTTTGGAAGTGAAGCATATGACCCCAGTGCCACCCCCCCCCCCCCCCCCCAAAGATAAAAACTATTGGATAACCAAGGTTTTCCCCACCAATAGTTATTTAACAAACTGTTTGAGTTTCGGATTCTGTACATGACTTTTTCCCCTAAAAAGCTGACAGTTCTCATTCTCTGAATAATGTTTACGTTGTACATTGAACGCACATGATTTTAACACGTTTGTCCGAGGTGATTCATTTCCAAATGAAAAACATATTTGCACCAGATACTGTTTAACACACAAAAAATGGATGTAGGCACAACTGCTAAGCCTACATGTGTCCCGTTAAGTTTCAAGGGGAAAACGTGCGTTTGTCACTCAACAAGAAATCCTTCATTGATGTCCCCAGAGGAAAACACAGCTGGCAAAATTTAGAAAAGTCAAAACAGGTGTGCCAAACTGGAAAATAGTAGATGTCTAGAGGAATGGGGCTCGAACAGAAGTTGTTCAAATCAGGAATTATGGTCCAAGAATTATTTCCAATTTCCAATTGCTGATGTAGTTAGTGACTTGGCTATACAGGCATAGGGTACTATCCGCATACTTTGTGTAATCAGTGTAATATGAGCATAAGTAAATTTACCATTTATGTACTCTTTTGTTTCCAAAAAGAGTGAAAATACACCTATTCCTATTCCTATTTCTGAATCATGGAGACAAGACAAGTGAAATTCATTCAATCAAACAGATCGATTTTTCACTTGAGTTTTGACCAGTGTTTTGTAATGTAGAGTATATCAATCTAAAATTTGAGTGATTTTCACTCTGAATCATCTTGTCCTTAGTGTCACTCTAATAATAACAATTTGTGAAAGAAATCTCTGGAGTATAAACTCACGACAAATTCCGGACGATCAGAGTTGTGTCAGCCAGTTTGGGTTTTGGATATCCCATGCATGGCGTCCTCCTGGGTTTGGCCAAAGGTTTGGCCTTTACTGATTTGGTCTAGGCGGTTCCTGCCCATTGCATCACAAAACCTCAAAGCAAACAGATCGACAGATCCGATTACCAA